AAAGAAATCAAGCTATGATTGACGCTGAAGAAGGCAATGAAGATGAAGATGCTGCTATACCTCCTAAAAAGAAGGCGAAAAAGAAGACTTCAGTCAAGGACACCTTTCTTGACCCTGAAGAAGAGGCTCTCGCTTCCAGTCTTCATTTGCCTACTCAGGTAGAGCCTGAGCCTGAGCCTGAGCCCGAGCAGGAGTCCAGAGTCGATGTGGACCTTAGTCTTTCAAGCCCTTGTGCTAGCTCTCCTTATAGTGGTATAGGTACCGGTGTATCTTCTAAGTGGCAGCATTATGAGGCCATTGGATGTGGCGTTAGCCAGGATCCCAATGCGGAGTGGACTGAGAGTGAGCGTCAAGCTTTCCAGGCCCACTTAAACAAATTGAACAATGTATGTATTACTTCTATTCACGACACTGTCTAATCTTGTATAGCAGATGATCGTCAAAGATATCACCACGGAAAAGGCTCAAGACAGTGCTCCTCCTCCTCAGTCTCAACGCCCAGCGACCCCTACTAAGAAGTCCAGTGGCAGGATCCTGGAGGGAGACTTTACATCCTGTTCTCAGACTCTCGCCATTGCTGGGAAGACTTACATGAGAACCCGTGTTGTCTTTGGCGATATCTATCCTCCTCCAGATGCTATTAGTCGTTCTACTTTTAATTGGGAAGTTGTGAAGGAGGCCGTCAAGAATTCAAAGGATGAAGCCTTGAAGGAGACCTTGAAGCGTGTTGCAAAGGATGGCAAAGTTAAAAAGGATGTCATGGCCTTTGTAAGTATTTTCAAATCCTTTGCATTGTTTCTAATACTTTATATCTCCTTTTTTATAGGTTACTTATGGTTGAACTGCCATGCTCTCCACTATCATAAGCAGCGCTTGAAGTAAGGTGGTCTCCAACTACCATCTTCATGGAGTGAAAGGGGAGATCAAGGACTGTGTCCACTGGCTTCTCGTGGAAGCAAACTTTATGTATGGTGGAATAGATATAGAGGTATGTGATAATTTTAATATCCAGCTGACTCTAATGTATTGTCAAGCTTCAGAAACAAACATTGGATCCTACAAAGCCCTTTGGAGCCCCCATGATTGAAGAAATACTCAAAGTCTTGTGGTTCACTCCGTCAACACGTAGCAAACTGGATGTTGCATCCACTATGAGGATGGCAAAGGACGAAACCATTCCTGTCTCCCTTATTCTGCTTGTTTCGACTGTGGTAGAGTTTTCAAATTTGTTTATAGATATTTAACTGAGCCCTTACTCTCTAGATTCGCCATTCCATTAGTGAATACAGTGAAGGAAATCATACCAAGGCCAGCTTCAGTGAGGATACATCAAAAACCCAGTATGCCGTCAGTTTTCGTTTTGCTCATCAAACTAACATTGGCCTAGATACCAAGAATTAGAAGCAACCTGGAACTGTTTGGAGGAGGAGGCAGGTAATTGGACAACGTACTATCCAAAGAAGCTCTTCAAGAAGATGGTGTATGGTTTTTTCTTCTTTTCAGTGTTATTACTCTCTCATCTGCCACTTTAGTCAAGGTTCCGGAATTTCAAAGGGTTCGACCACTTCCTCAAAAGCAAATCTGAAGAATGTCAACATGAGTGAGCTTGCGAAGATGGCTGAGGAGGATCAGGATATCTAGCTTGCTTTTTATATTCATTTCCATAGGCATAGTCGTTACAGGTATATTATAGCAAATTTAATCGTCATTTACCATGATCATGCTATTCTGGTGTGCTTTAAAGCTGCTCAAAGATCTCAAAAGACACCAGGATCCATTATTTTTATCTGTTTTTGAGAGCTTTGAGATGCTTTAGACCATCTTGAGAAAATGCTCAAGTCCGATTCAACATTGAACCTTGCTTTGAAAGACAATCAGGCAGCTTTGAGTCTTTGGCATCTTTCAGCTCTTTAAAGCATCCTAGAGTGCTCTGGGCTTTCTTAAAGATAACCCCCCTTTTCCTGATGTAATATGAAGTTTAATGCGGGATTTGGTGTCAGGAGGGGTTTTTTTTGTCAAGGACAGGTCAGCTTGACGTGTCGAGGCACGTCTTGATGCATATTACATAATTGCCTTAATGAGGGTCAGTTGCGTCCCATTTTTTCTCCAGCTTACGACACTATTTCTGCTCATATTTTTGCACACAGGGTCCTTTGAGACTATTATAAAGAAAATGTTCTGAACAGAGGTGCATTATTTCCTTTCTAATAGTGATTTTTGTTTTGAATATGATGGAAGCCATTGCCGCATTCCAGATCTCTTCAGAACGATTTGCCCAAAAACTTATCAAATTCACATTTGCAGACTATTTTAGGCTATATCTATGCAAGTTCTGGAGAAAATCTTGTTTTCCCACTTCTGTCAACCGTATGAGGGAGGACCAAGCTAGGGCAAACAAGCCGGCCTAACCGGGTGTTGCGCCTCCCCACAAGTTAACGGACCGCTCTATTGTTTGTGATGGCTAACGACACATGACCGCGTGTGGCTCTCTGACTTGGCACACAGATTTGCCTTATCTGGACGTGGCTCAGATGTCGTCCCGGCCAAATCCTGTGAGGTTGGCCTGTAAAGCATCAGGTGAGCTACATGATACACCACAGATTTTCCAGAGGCTCCATGGCCATAGAATTCCTCTCTTCAGGAAAGTTTCACAATTGCGCAGCTCAGGCATCAAGTTTACCAGTGCCAGCCTGAGAGCAAGCAAACGATTCTTGAGGGTGAAATGGTACGTTGCACTATAAAATTAATTCATTTTAATTTTACCTTGAAAGCCCAGATATAAGCCAGGACGTGGTTGGATTCAGTATTTTAATGTGCCGCAAGCATCAGCAAATCCTGATTTTGAGGGTCAAAATGACCTCAATTTCAGCTTTACACTGCATTATGGCGCGTTACGTAGCGCTGCGTAATGCACCATAGCGTTGTAATGCATCTTCTTATCTACCGAGATGGTCCCCAACTACGGAGTGCTACATACCCTCATATAGCACTCATAACCCAACCAGGAATTGCCGATGAGTGGCTTCAGGTGTCGCGTCGAACTCGCTGTAATGTTTGGTACAACGGTTGTAGAATGTCTGGATGAAGTCAGGGATTGAGGACAACTCCGCAGTTGTAAATCTCTTCTTGGACACTGTATTGAATTAGTTCCTATCCACATTCTAGTCCCTCAGGCTCCCCATGAGTTCGGCGTTGACACTCGGTGCCATGGTTCTGACGAGATTCCAGCATGAATGGTGTCTGGCTCTCATTAAGGCATAGTAAAGTTCAAGTTAGTAGGATCAGAGTGGTTATTTAAGGGTACTCATATGCATTGTATCAAATTTCGAAAAGTTTGTATGGCGATGGAACTGGATGGATGCGGTTGGTGCTCAAGAAGCCCCTATACAAGATAGTCCAGACCCGGACCGTACCCTCCCGTGTTGTCTCCCATTCCTTGACAATGACCACGATCCCGGCACCTTCGAGTTTCAACAACCTAACGAATTGTTTCTGCTAGTGCCCACCCTCGAGTCGTGCAGACTGTAAACTGCCAACTCTAGATCCATGCAGCTTACTTCTCAATGACCAGACAACTCCGCAAAGAAGTGTTTCAGCCTGCTTGGTGCTTTCTTCTGGTTGCATTACTCTTCTTGTTTGAATGAAGCACCGGTGCTGCATTAGGTTCTGCGTGCAGATGACATTCATCGGCAAGGGCCTTCAATTTCCGAAAGACGTAAGCGTCCTTCATACAAGGCGCGATGACCTCGGGGGCTTGAATACGCCGCTGCACTGACCGCTGAGCTTGAACGACGCTTCTCGTAACCCCACGATGCTCAAAAGCGACGCACTGGTCATTCCCATCAAACGTCACCGGTTCACCCACAACCTTGACTGTGGACAGCCCATAGCGATTCTTGAGGCAGGAGACATCCTGAACTCGTATTATCCATCCAGGTAAGCCGCCTTGTACATATACATCTTCCAGGTCAAAGTTCATCAGTATTTATAGAGTTATAGAGCAGACGATAGAAACCACTATGGCGACAAATCCAACCATCTCTCTCGACTCAGCCGTCGATCTTCTAACATCGGCGCTGCAAGATCCCGCCAAAACCAATGTCTGCGCCGTGGGGCTGGGACTTGCTGCGGACCGCATTAACATAGCGCTCGAGGGATGTACGACCATCGCTGCCAGGATCAAGATCGTGAAAGCTTACCCCCAGCTACTCAGAGCTGGTGTCAAGTTCCTCACATTCAATCAGCCACGTCCAGACCACGTCGCAATGCTCAATCGTTTGACTACTTGTCGGTGCAATTTGGGGCGGACAGCGATGCTGCGCCGTCATCAGCCCAGCAGGTCCCGACCCGACGGACAAGTTGAGGCCGACAACCTCACGCACTTGTTTGATGCAGTGACCACCGTGAGCAATTGTCTTATCCTCGCCCTTTCCGATCGAACACAGCACAAGTTTCACACCGCAAGCACGACCGCTGGCAAGCAACCTTGGCCGCAAGGCCCAGAGGACTTGCTTCCACAAGGACCAAAGGACTCTATACTCGGGCTAGAGCTTTGGGTTGCAGTGCCGCCCCTCGGGTACACAATATTCAAACTGGCCGGCCATATGGCTACGTTTCATGTCCCATTCGCACAGGAGGTTATTCAATCACCGGACGTCGCCTTCGCTATCATCTGGCCTTTCCAACACCTACAGGAGGCCATCAAGTTTTTCGAAGAGGGTGACCCTTCAACAATGCTGCAGACTCACTTTTTCAAACAACCAGTCATGACGATCTTCGAATTTTTCACCGCTATGGTCAACTGCAAGCCTCAGTTCAACTGGATGATTACCTCACGAGGTGGCTGGTGCGCACCTATTCTTGCACGCCTCACTGCGATCTTGGCCCCGCTTCCTATGGAATGGAGCAAAACCCCCCATAAGATCCAGCATCTGACTGGGTACGCCAATGCTAAGATTGATCCTGTAACAGGACTTGCGACTGTTTGCATCTCCCGCGAGAGTTTGACGGAACTTCAACACTTTGACCTGCTCGAGTTCGCATTTGAACAGATGGTTGAAGCTAGGAAGATGGGCTGCTACAACATCAGTTGCCCTTCAGCGTCTGAAACCATCCATTCGCGACTGTGTAGCAAGTGCAATCTTCTCAGGTACTGTGGAGAGCGGGTGAGTTTTCAGTCTCTCGTTCCCAGATTCTCCGCTCAAATGGCGACCACTCTGTAGTGCCAAAAAGATGCGTGGAAGTGTGCTACGCTCCCTCACAAGCCACTGTGTGCGAAGGTCCACTCTTTGAAAGAATCACTCGGGGCCGATAACTGGGAATTGCTCTGGACGCCCGACTGCAACTATAGGCAATTCCAAATCATGTGCACGAGCAAGAAGGTGAACGAGGAAGCCGTGAAAGTAATTGGACGCATCCTAATTACCCTCAGGACCCGTAAATTTGCGTTCCAGAGTGACCAAGAGAGAGACGGAGAGTCCCAGATTGATAGGCTGAGGAGAGCAGAGCGGTGGCAAGTGTTCCGTCGAAACCGGGAAGAATTCATAGGGAGTCTCGGCGAGCGCGCCCGCTCGGTGAAGGTGCTCAGTCGAGAGGAAGGTCTGTCGTTGGTAGCTGACAACACGTCGTTATGAGTACGCCGGTTTGAGGACGTGGGTATTCCATTCTCTTTTTTCTTGCAGTACTTCTTTTCTGCGTCCTCGATCGCCATTCGAGTGAGAGGATCGCTGTAATGTCAGGACGATTATTAATTTCGCGTTTATCAGTCGCCGATCGATGTCAAACCATAACGACCGAAAAGCTGAAACGAACATTTAACCCCTCAGGGCTAGTTTGGCATTTGACAAGTCAGACCAGACTTGGTGGAAGGAGAAAGGGTCTTTCCAGGCTAATTTTCTAGAGCATAATAAGGCCCCCTTCTGCTGGAAGCACTTCTCGAGGGTCGACAACTTTAGCATTGCTGGCCAGATGGCAGCACAACTGCTTATGGTCCTCATGACGGAAAAAATAATGGTACATAATCGGCAGAAAAGAAAATCAGCTTGATGCTAACCTAAGCGCTCATGAACCAGTGCCTCTCGCCTCGGCTGAACGAATGAAATTATGCTGAAACAGTGAAGCAGAAACGGTCAATTTCGACTAGGCTTACAAGGCAAGCACAACGTACCACCGTCTTTTTTCAAGCTTTCAACCAAGTCAATCCTTACTTCCATTCCACAAAGACAGGGTCGTTCAAGTCCGCATCAACACCGCTCATTACGAGCTTAGCCTGTCGGGGCGCATACAACCACTGCACATTCACCCTCCCGTTCAGATCAACAGCCTTCGGTCTGATGTTTACCCCGAGAACGGTAATCCCCTGAAGTTTCTGCGCTACTTCGAAAGATCCTGAGCGGGTGATGGAGATGGAGTTGTTGCGTATCGAGAAAGTGAGAATCCGACGCGGGCCAGGCGGGTAGCTAATCCCGTCGTCGATATATGCGGATCCATATGCCACACCCTCCGCATTCAGAGAAACGAGAAGGGAGTAGGGTCCTTGAAGCGTTTCTGCGATCGTATACCGGGGCTCAGCGTGCAGAAGGAGTGCAGAACCATCGCGAATATGGACATTACCCAGCAGCAAACGAGGCACGTGAGCGTGTCCAGTACGAGGTGGACGCGGCGAAGAGGGCGATAGAAGAGCTCAACGCCTTTTACCAGAACGTTGCGACTCAGTGGGCCACCCCGGAGAGCCGCGTTCTCGGCCACGTCGTCCTCTCTCCTCCCATCAACGCTGGCGAGGGTTACACCGAGGACTGGGCCATCATCGAGATCGACACCTCCAAGGTGGACGCGAGCAACTTTGAAGGCAATGCGATTGACCTCGGTACCCGCATCTCAAGCTACAACCTCACTCGTATGATGAACCCCAAGCCCCCGCATGACCATCCCTTTGAATATCCATTTGACCGACTTGTGCGGCTCGAGGGCACGATTCCGGACGAGGAGATGCGGCACCCGACTGTGCTCGACAAGAACAATGAGCCGTGCCTTATGGTGCTCAAGCGCGGCAACACCACCGGCCTGACTGTCGGCCGTGCCAACAACGTTTTCTCCTACGCCCGTAACGACTATGCTGAGACGTCCAAGGAATGGGCGATACTCCCGTTCGACTCCAAGTCGCACGCGTTCTCGAAGACGGGCGACTCAGGTTCTGTCATCGTCGACGGTCTCGGACGCATCGGTGGCCTCCTCACTGGTGGTAGTAGTGCGAAACCTTCCGAGGACATCAACATCACGTATGCCACACCCATCAGCTTCCTCCTCAAGCGTATGCAAGAAAACGGGCTCCGCGAGCTCAACGTCAACCCGGTCAGTTTCGATGACCAGCCTCTCGTTTGATTAATTAGCGTCTTGGTGCCGAGCTTGATCTGCTCGATGCGCAGAGTGAAGGCGAAGGCAGAGACGCTTTGAGGAGGTCTTCGTGTTGGGGCTTGCGGCCTCCAAGACTTGCACGGTCAGCGAGGGCATCGGGTTGGATGCTTAGTCTGTTCTCAGGAGTTGATATTATTGAGGTACCGTGACGCAGTGCTGTGTTCACACTGGCGGTCAGGCTAGCTATAGGCTACTGCTTGGGTTGTATTATGGATTCATCACGAAAATGTCTTCATGTTATTTAGCAGTGTGAAGAGGGACGGCGGCGAGTTTAGGGAATGACATTGTCGTCACCAAAGCCAAGTTCTTGACGAAATCGAGAAGTTGGATCAACAGCGTCTCGTCTCGTCGCGGAGGATGGTCGGACCTGGCGTAGTCTCAATCAACTTGCTGGAGGATTATTTCACCCCAGAATGTCGCGCGGAAACTAGAGTAATATCGGATACGAAAAAGTGAAAAAGAAAAGTGAAGATATAATATAGAGTTAATAAAAATACAATTGTCCGTTTAGGCTGTCGCAAGGTACTCTAAGGTATTAACTAGTTTTTGTTCTTCCGAGTCGCTGAACGACCACGTCTAAGACCCGACACGCCAGCCGACTGCGTCCCCACACCTGCACCGCTGGACCCTCCAGATCTTGTTATTTGTCTCCTTGAGCCCGTCGAACCGTTACGGGACCCCGGGCGTGTTCCGTTTGAGGACGAGGCGCCGTTATTAATAAGGGGTGCCTCTGCAGGTTGGGTTGATCTAGAACCATTCCTCGACCTCGTCGATTGCCTTCTTGCCATGGGCGCCGGGGCAGCCTCGACGTTTACTTGCACTGATTGAACGGACTCTGCCCGCAACCTCAACGAACGCCTCTTCGCACTGGGTGCAGCTGGGTTAGCCTCAGTGGCAACAACATCTGTCGAAGCTGCTGGTGCTATTTGAGAAAGGGATTGAGTCGGTGATCTCGTCTGAGTCCTCTTTGGCGCAGGCGGGCCATCTTGGTCATCGACGTCCATCTCATTTTCGTCGGCGTCCCGTTGGTCTCTGGTACGCTTCATGCTGCTTGATGGCTCGATGTGTTGGCTAGAACCAGAATCAGAGCGTGGAGGCGCTGGGATGGAAGGTTGCTCAGATAAACTGGGCGATGGGCCCTGCTGCGAAGACGGGCCTAGGTTAGGCTGCTGTTCCCTCTGCTCCTCCTTCTCCAATGCTACGATAGCCTTGTCGACAAGTTCGAGGAACTTGGCATAGTTTTTGTCAGAGTGGGGCTTCATGTTCTCGAGCTTATTCGGCATTGTTGCTCTGTTGACGAGCTTCCACTTGTGCATCTCTCGTGTGAAATCTCGGAGCCCGTCGAACAGGTCTTGAAAAGCTTGCCCGAAGGTGTTGACGAGTTCATTGTGTTCGGCTACAGGGGGATTGATGAAGGTCCATTTCACTGGGATCAGCAGCGAAGGATCTTCGGTCTCCCAGTCCCCGAGAGGTGGGGACTTGACTCGTTCGCCAGTAGGGGTATAGCGCATACAGACCCAGCAAAAGACATAGAAGAACGATTCAAGATCGTCAAGATAGTCGTGCGCTAACAGGATCTTCCCGTCCGCCTTGTCCTTCTCGCTGCTGATCACAAGGATCGCTTGGAAGGCCCTCGTACCCTGTGACAAAGAAAAGCGTCTCAGAAATGTGTCCACCGCTGCGGTAGAGAAAACTTACAGTTCGGAAGTCCACTGCAGCCATTGTAGCGGCTCGCTGCCATCGGACTGCCATATCCATATCAATAAGCAGCCCTCTCCAACCTTCTTCAGCACCTTCCTCGCCGATGAGAATATTGTTGACACTGATGTCGCGATGAATGATATTCCTGTCCCACAGTCTCTGATGACCTGCAAGACCCGTCAACGATGATATGCTAGATAAGTAGCCCAACGAACTTACCTGCAACAGCATCGCGGAAGGCATGTAAAAGTTGCCTGCGATTCGTAAATTTGTCGATCTGTTGACCATACGCGCGGAGGATAATGCGACGAAACAGCCGGTCGACCATCCCAGTAGGCAATTCCTTCCCCTCCATCCCTCTCAAGGCCGCGATCGTCAGCTTCTCCGGCTCAAAAGCGACCATCTGACCAATGCCTTGGACGCCTTCAACCTCCTGCAGCAAGTCGGACTCCAGACCGCGACCTTTAGCTTGCCAGGAATCCTTAATGACGCGAAGCTCGCCGTCGGGATCTCTACCCAGCCAGCAAAGTGTCCCACGGCCGCGGATCGTTCGCCGCTGAAAGAGCGGTTTCGACTTCAAAATCTCGTATTCGACTCGCTGGCCCTTTTCATTGAGGGTTTCAATGTACCGCTTGTCTCCCCTCCAATAGACGGTGGTGTCGAACCCAAGAGTGGTGCAATTGGGAGACGAGACGAGGAGGATGAGGTAGACAAAATCTTTGGGGTTTTCGTGAATGTTGATGTATTTGCTGCGCAACAGCCCATTGCGGTCGAACTGTAGGAGGAATGCGCGTTTCTCCGTCATGACCAGAGAGTGGACGTAGTGGCGGTTCCCCTGCTGTATGAAACATTGGCTGAATAAACGAAGTCAGAAGAAGAATAAGAACCAAGGCTTCTCGACGTACCGAGCATATACGCCAACTTGCGTCAGAACCTTTTCCTTCAAGTTACGCTCCGTCTTGACCTCGCAAGGCGACGCGCAGTATTTGTAGTCTGCTTTTTCCTCGAACTTAAGTTTGAGATTCTCCGAGTGGAAGTTGGGTCCCGACCCGTAGATGAAGAGGTCGGGAGACGTCTTGAGTGAGGTGTCGCCTGTGTCGCCCTCGATATGCTGGATCTTGACGTTGAACGTGTTGATGGCCTCGCGCTCCTCAAGCTTGAAGGCTGCGATAACCTTCTGAAATATTTTGTAGAAAGGTTCATAAAGCTTTTTTTCGAGCTTCGGCTTTCTAATGTTGTTCCACTTCTTCGTGTTGTTGTTGTACAAGCCACAGTTTCGGACGAACTGCGTGATCGAAGCATCGGTAAATCCAGTACGGCGAACCCTCTGCTTGACCACACGATTGAAGAAGCCGTCGTCGACGTCCTGGGTGCTGCCCTTGATTTCGGCTTCCAGCATGGGTGTCATGGCGGCGATGTTCGAAAAGCCGTCGGCACGTCCGTGGCAGCTTGTTCTGAGGGGTGTTTCGCTCGACCCGGAAGCTATAGACTTTGGCTCTGGGGTTCGAGGAGGAGTCTGTCGAAGAGATTCGCTTTCGGGAAGAGCGACTTGCAATGGATCGATGGATTCGGATTGCGTCAATTTGGACTTGTGGCTGTTGCGGGTAGCCCTCTTGAGATATTCGATGCTCATGTTAGTGGATGGTAAATGAAAGGAAATGACCACTCACGCGTCGCGATTTTGTATCGAACTGTGGCCCGACAGAGTCACAAAATCTGGTGAATGTGGTTGATGTTCAAGCGCGGTGGCCTCGCTTCGCGGACCGCGCTATTGTTCGTGATGGTGAATCACACGTGACCGCGTGTGGCTCTCTGACTTGGCGCATAGATTTGCCTTATCCAGACGTGGCTCAGATGTCGTCTCGGCCAAAACCTGTGAATTCTCAGGAAAATTGGCCCATAAATTTTTGTGTGAGCTACATGATACACTGCACGTCTGCTAGAGGCACTGAGGCCATAGAATTTAATTTTTTTTCTCTCTTCAGGAAACTTTCGCGATTACGCAGCTCAGGCTTCAAGTTTGTCAGCACCAGAGAGAGAATTGAAAAGCAAAGGATTCTTGAGGGGGAAAGGGTACGTCGCACTATAGAATGGATTTATTTAATTCTACCTCGAAAGCCCAAATATAAACCGTAGGAGGACGTGGTTGGATTGAATGTGCAAGGGAGATTAACTGGCGCAGCTGTTCGACGTTCGCATTTATGTAACGAGAGTTGGCAGGTATTACCCTCAGTCCGCTTACGTCAGGATCGCAGATTTATGGGCGATATAATGTGCAAAAAATAAAATTATCCTGCTGAAAAAACACAACAAGTACGACGGTTCTCAACGTTGAGAATCGAAACCAGCAAGTTCCGTCACCACCTCTCCTAATATATTGGCAGCACCTGTAAAAGCACGGCTGGACGGAGATGTCCTTCGCGATGGCCATTTCCAGTTTCACGGTGTTGTCATTTCCCTACCATTGGTGTCACTGAGACGAATAGGAGCCTCTGTTTAAATCAGAATTCAAGACCCGAGGGGTCACAAAATACTGTACTATTATCCGCACAATTAGACCAGTAAAGGGGGAGGTCTTGTTCTCGCTGTACTTGGTCTTAATAGCCATCGGTTTTGAAGGACAAAAGTAAAAGCTGCCTACTCCTGTACGACCTTCTTCGGCTTTCCGTGACACGGTGTATACCCGTCCGAGGCTCGGCGCTCATATTTGAGCCATACCAGAAGTTTCCTGTTCTAAGAGGCACCGCTGGGTGCATCAGCGGCCCCGCATCTATCAACGCGTCCGTTTATGACTACTCCTATGGCCCACAAGCGGGAAATGGGCCACCAGAGCTTGTGAGAGTATTAATACACGCTAATATCGACAGTAAAGTAGGTGCGACTCCGAGGCGCTTCTCCAGTCTTCGAGCACGATGTAGCAGCGGTGCGGCGCTCTTCCCTTTTCTGGGCGAAGGCGCAGTGCTGGGGCACCGTCGGCCCGGAAGATGACGAAGCTACGGCGCGAGTGGGTCTCACAAAACTTGAGGGGAAGCTCAAGAACACGTACCAACTTTCAGTAAAGACCACGAGCTTGCTGGATAAAAAGCCAACTTGTAGGACCTTGTGTGCCTCGTATCTTATGCACACTATATCTGCCATACAGATTACCGCCCACCGCCCATCAGGAACGAAAAAAAAATTGGGACGTTGGGTGATGGACAGGGGAAGTTGAGTAGAATACTCGATGCCCCGGTGAGCTGAAATAATTGCATTATGGAGGTGATACTTACCCAGACCGCTCTCCTTCGAGCAGGTTTATGCCATAGTGCAAACTTACAGTCTCCGTCGACGTCGGACGAAAACGAGAAAAGGACCCAGACTTCAACGTTTCAACATTCACCCTTGAATATTACCAGTAACCCCCACCGACGCAGTCACGGAGTCTGTAGGCTTCAACCTTAAGCTTGGCCTTCTTCTCAAAAGTGGCCTGAGTGACCATTACTGCCTAAGAGACAATATACCTGCCACCAAAGCAAATTCCGAAGAACCAGTCGTCGACTATGCTGCGGTGGATGAATACCTCTTCCACAGGAATATTAAGACCACATTTCCTCACATGTAAAATCGATCTCTCGGACGTGGTAGGATGGGGTTTTTCGGGCGCTCTACCTGGCGAGAACGGCGACACGCAGATGATAACGCACACTACTCTCCTTGGAATTTGGACTACAGATTTCGAGGACCATTCCTCGATCCGTTTGTTATCGAGGAGCACATGTACCTCTTCCTCGACGGCTTCCATTAATCTAACCTCTCCTGCATCCCTCGAGAACCCCGAGACCTGGTGACTTCACTTACAAGACCGAGGTTCTAGCTTCAACAGCGCTCATCGGACTGGAGTGTTGACGCGGCTCGTCTCAGTTCTGTGGCTGACTCGAAACTCACGACGGGGCGACTCATGACGGGGAGCCACAAGTGCTTGGTTTTTGGGCGCCATGAGGTAAACGCGATCCTCGCCTGCACATTTACCCATCTTGGTGCCCGAGCAAACTCCCGTTCGTCGAGACACGATGTCGGTGGAGGCTTGTCTACGCCATGCTTTCTCCGTACCACCTCGACCTAGTCTTTTTTATCAAATCGGCTTAATTTCGAAGCTTGGGCAAGGTCAGCTGTCTGGCGACCGGGAGTTGACGCCTCTCGTTGAGCGCTGAGCTGCAGAGGTGTGTCGTCCTGTCCAGGTCCTAGATTATCGTGGGCCTTGCTCAATTCACTTATAGGAGTTGTTAGACTTAATTCCATGCACTCAGTTGAGTTGAGAGAGGTTACAAGGCGTTGAATAGAAAGGGCAAAATAAGCGCGCCGGAGTACCGCGGCCCGTTCTTGGACATATCCGGACCGTAGGTGTTCCCCCTCCCCCCCTGGCGCTCGCCTAGACTAAAAACCAGTTTCGCCGTCCCCAAACCCCATTTCCGCTTTATCTAATCTTTCTGGAGAATTAGACGGCCCCTATCCCTACTAAAGTCGACGAGGATCCACAACTTCCCCACTTGTTAGCGTTTCCTGCAAAAAAATATCCATCCTATGTGAACGACGATCCATATGCGAATTTCAGTCAAGAGCATCTATCATTTCTAGTATTCAAAATGCAATGCAGGTGAATAGGAGGTCCCGTTCTGCAGGTTGTTGGCGCATGCAGGGTATTGGTATCCACGTGCCGGAAGCTCTGATCAATGTCGGTAATCTGAGATCGAGGAAGGGGTTGTCAACGTGCGCTCTGCTTCCTCGAGCTCGACTATCGGCGCTTATTGGCTGGGTTCGCTCGAGTCGCCCGGATGCTGTCGGTTCCTGGGATTCCCTTTCGATGGTCCACGAAAAATCTGATGCTCGTTCCCGGGTTTCTGGAATCCTGTTTGCCATGTTATCAGAGATTTTCAGAGAATGATGGCGGTGGGCTTCGCGAACCACTTGCACCAACCCACCCACGGTAGCACGCAGCTGCCCCTAGGCTGACGGACGCGCTCGGCTATTCCGATGCCTCCTGGTTGGCCAGAGCTTGCCGTCGGAGCGACTTTTTTCTCTTTTTCGCCTTCTTGGACATGCTTGGGATGTCGTGAACCCGACATCCAGACCCGTCGAAATGCAGGCAGGAGCTCCATTCCTCCCCATCGCGACCTTCTCGAACGCGTCTGATGCAGGAAGGTCGGCGCGTTATCAGCCCTCAAATGACTTCATCCTGAGCTCGAATTCTTACGGCTCCTGCGTCTCGTGAGTGCGATTTATCATCCTATCCGCGTATAATACCTTCCTTTACTGCGCGCACGACGATGCGCCCATGGCAGCGTGTCCGCTACCAGGAACATGCACCTGCTTAGCCTCTCGTTGCGCCGCCTGAATAGGTGAGAAATCCCCGTCGACTCCATGCGCCACTGAACTTTACTTGCACGGGTAACTCCAGGATTTCCGTGTGTCTGGAAATCCCCAGTAGGCCAATGACCGCGCTGGGCACGAACTTCGCAGCTCTCATGCGTGCACATCCCTAGAGAGGACTTATACCTGGCTCATCGGTTTTAGCACAGGTCTCCTCTCCCACCACAGAGGTTGCTTAAAGCGGACTGAACCCTTCTTTGCCACAGCACCCGAGGTCCTTTCTCTCCCCTCGATCAATATCGTCACGCATATCACCCGACAGTCGGAAAAGGGAAATTATTATCGATGAATTCAGTAGCGCCACCGTTTCCTTATTTCTGTGCTCGCTTCAAAGAGGGCATTGATAATTCAATCCTCCGCGCCGCTCCTCCGCTGAGCTGTTCCGCGAGCCGTCTGCCTTCGACTCGCGCGATCATCGATTTCCTTGTCAAAAGAACGCAGAGCAATAATAGCTCAACGGAACGCCAAGCCTTTCCCCAACGGCCTGAATAGTGGAGAAACAGGCGTTCGATGGACTCTAATTACCATACTGAATGGTGAACCCCAGTCTTCCGCGTCGCGTTCTCTTTCTCCGCATTCACCCAGTTCGACGTCTTCACCGTGTGCTACGCCTGTTTCCTTTGTGCTTCTCTCGGCGGCAGACACGCTTATTTTTACCGTCCTCGCAGGTCAGGTTCCGTCAGGCGTTAATTATCGGGGACTCGTCGGGCGTCGATGACACCGAGACGTAGTCCATTTTCGCCGAGTCGAGGAATCGGCGCTCGTCCCGGCGACATTCAGGGACTTTCCTGTGCTAATGGCGATTAATCATACCGCTTCTCGTCGAGAGCTTGGATCTGGCTACCCCGCAAACACTTGACAATGACACGAAGGGCTTCAGGCTGGAACATTGCGAAAAGAAGCCGTCCGTCGGTACCTTCCGCTATTGCTTCTACCTCGGTGTTTGGGCGTGTGGGCGACCATGTGCGAAGTCCCAAAATCATTCGTGAAGGCGTCCCATGCCCTACGCCTTGGGGGTTTTAGGCATCGGGATTATCGTTTGCGGGCTTGAAATCTTGACGGTTCGGCTCATCAGAACACCCTGAGGTGAAAGGCCCCCATTGCAGGTTGTTCCTCCCATTTTCCGATAATTATTCTCGTCTTGTCCACCTGCTGTCAATGTTGCTTGTTCGGGGACTCGATGATCATCATCTACGAGCCCCCAGTGCTCGTAACTATTCCACCATCAGCAACCCCATACCTAGCCATTATACTTGCCATGAGTTCTCTTTTCCCTCGAGAGGAAAGAAATCTTCAAACCGGAGACTGAGTCTTTACCCTCTTGCCTAAACTTTTATGCACCTGGAAGGTGTACACTCCACACGAAGGCTGAGAACACGCTTTGTGCCTTCCCAACGCCACCAATCTGGTTTTCTCTCGAGAAGTGCACTCGGAGGGTATTAACCCCAGTGCGTGTGACAGCTCCTATTATCATTCATCCATCCATCCAGAAACTCAGAAAGCTTGAAAGCTTCGCCTACCCGCGAGGATAGATTCCCAAGGTTCTCGAGCTGGGGAGGGACCGATAAGGTGGTGGGACTACCATACTGCCGCAATTTCCAACACGACCAATGGTTTTGACCAACCAAGTCAAGAGTTCTTTGGAGAGCATGATCATCTGACCGTGTCGTATGTCAGATAGCAGCCCCCGGTGCATGAGGGTTCCAGTGGGTTCCGGTCCACGACATCGCGCGAGTTCCGTCGTACGCGAAGCCCACGGCGGAGATTATCCTGCGAGAATGCGAGGATAAGTGCGAGGATGCAGTGCGGTGTCCGGATCCGAGGCTGACACAGGGTAGCATGCGAACGCGAAAAGGCTTCACGAAGCTGGGATTCAAGCTTCAAGGCTCGAGAAGTGCAGGGGCCCTGTGTGCTCAACGGATTTTCCAAATTCCGTTCCTCGACAAAAAAGCGACATTACTAAAGTAGAGTACATGAGTATGAGCTCGGCCGGACGCTACATGCGTTGTTACAGCCTGGGTTTGATCATATGCTGGACGGTAGCAGGATCAAGCACGCCCTGGGGATAGGGGAGTAACGAGCCCTGGAGGTGCATGGAGCCTCCGTCGACGGGGAGGACTTGGCCGGTGATGTACGCAGCCGCATCGCTGAAGAGAAACACCGTGGCGTTCGCAATATCGCCGACGACGCCCATGCGGCCTGCGGGGTAACCGGGGAGCTTATACTCGTCGCCCTTCGGCGACAGGCGGTCCATACCCTCGGTATTGGCGATGGGCCCCGGGGCGATGACGTTCGAGCGTACACCGTTCGGGCCCTCCTCTACGGCCAGCACGGCGGACAGCGCGTCCACACCAGCTTTTGCGGCAGAAACGTGCGCCTGGAACGGCGTCCCTTAATGAATCTTTGAGGACGACTTCGCAAAAATCCAGCCGGCCAATGAAAGCGTACCGCTATAGTGCAAGGTTGCGCTCACATGGATGTAAGCCCCCTTCGAAGCACGGACGTGGGCGAGGGTCGCCTTGACCGTGTTGAAGGATCCAATCTGACGTGCGGAAGGTGAACAACGGGCGAAGGACAAGTTCCTCCGCGAAGAAAGAAGAGACGCACGGTGTCGATTTCCATCACCGTCTTGAAGGCATTTTCCGACATGTTTTGGATGGGCACGAGGAAGTTTCCAGCAGCACCTGCGCAAGTGCATCCATAAGGTAATGTCAGTCCCAAGGACCGCAAACCAGCAAAGGTTGGTTCAAGGATGTCGTGCACGTACCGCAGATGACGTAGTCGATTCTTCCGAATTTTGCGATGGTCTTCGCGACAGCCTCCTTCAGAGTCGCCGGCTCCCTCACGTCCACCTGCACTGGAAGGCACTCGCGACCGGTAGCTTGTGACAGCTCCTTGGCCGTTTGGGTTAGACGGTCGAATCTTTTTCGTTGGGATTAAGCAACAATCTCGGAACGAAGTGTGTTTGAACAGCGTACTTGCGTCCCAGGATTACGGCGTTGGCGCCGTGGCGCATCTGGTTGGTTGGTTGGTTGGTGGGGAAGGGTGCGAGTTGTGGAGTGCTTCTAGGGCTGAAATTTGGTCCTGGCTCACCATGGCTTCGGTCATTCCGCGACATATCCCAGAACCTCCGCCCGTGCAGAACAGGACCTTCCCCTTGAAGATATCGTCCTTGAAGATGGCTGTGGAGTCGACAATGGGTACGACGTACGGTGCTGGTGCCATTGTGTTGGTTTGTGAAGGAAAATAGGTATGCTGGATGTTGAGGAGGACGAGTGGCGTAGAAATAGAGGTCAATGTCAATCACAAGGGGCGCAGGCTTGCTGCTGACGCGGATATGTCGGCTCCGGCAATCACCTTTCCCGGCCTCCGCACCCGTCGACCCCATTGTGGGGAAGCGCCTCAGGGCGCTCAACAGTAATGGAAATCACGGCGCCGACGGTAAACACCAGAGTTATCCGCCTGTCTCTGGACTATTCACACTTTGCGTGTTGTGATCTGCAGAAGGTAAAGTTTCAACGAACGCGGGAAGTCCTATGGTCAGGAACTCGACATCAATAATAGATCCTCCGAGGCCCAAGGTTCAGTTCACAAAAAGTGTGCGCCGTCGCGCTGACAGCACATCATGATCAAGAGATCCTTGGTCGGTATGGGCCGTGGTGAACGTAAATTGGGCACCGAGTGTTGCTTCAAACCATTGCACGTTCAAATCGCGCGAAATCTCAAGGGTTATGTTACTACATATCACCTTTATCAGATTATCACGCCACCTGGAGTGCAGATCCTGTACCACGAGATGTGGGGTAGGAGGAGAGATATGCTCTACAGTCGCCGGTCGAAGCGCGTCAACGATTGGTCAACGGGTGTGATTCCCCATATCTCTCTCCCGAGTCCAGATATACCTCAGACGGTTTGGGCATACCTCTCCAAGTTTCGACATAGCTCCTAGTCACCCGGGAAAGCAGGCAAGGAGACCTCGCTCAAAGCAGCCGTTTCGTCCTGGCGCAAGAAGACGGGGGTGTCAGCGGACGCACATCGATTGATTGTCACCCAGCTGTCGTGTGTGGTGGGGGTGGCAATGATCAGGGGAGAAGCTGCGAAGCCCATCAGAGGTGTCGACGCCGGCGCACGCAACTGGATCTAATCATATCATGGGGCGCGAATCAGGAAGCCCGCGGCGAGGCGTGTTGTCCCCCTGCTAAGACACCGAGAACACGACCCCACCACGTATGTAAGCGCAATTTATCAGAGGGACATAGCGCTGCCCAACACTTACACGACCCAGTTCGCCCGTGTGAAGGAAAGCCCTCAAGCAGTTTGTGTGGATGGAGAGTGTGCCATATCCGTCATGCATCGCAAGGGCGTTCCAGGGTCGCGCCATTTGGCGCCCGTCACGCGTTCCTTGGCGGGAGAAACATGAGGTCGCCACGATCAAACGCGAGCTGCCTGATCAGGCCGCGTTGCATGTCCTGCTGACTCCTCCACTTGTTATCTTCCCCTCTGGTTGACTAAGGATACCATGAGGCCGTTGCGTGACCTCTCCGGAATCCACCGTGGAGCCCGCGAGGCCGCTGTGGGTCGTGCGCGGGCGGGAGACGGTCGATAACTCGCAGAGGACGTTCCCCGACGTGCCAAAGAGGCGCCCTCGAAGCCAAGTCTAGCCCGATTCGCTAAGCGGCCTTGATCAATGAATTTCGAATACAATATGGTAATTTGTATTGTGTGAAATGGTGGGGGGTGGAGGATTTACCGCCGGCACGAGTCGATCGAAGACGCGTTGATCACCAAACCGATTGAATAGAGAAAATAAAAGAGTGTGTCCTCGTCAATTGAAAAGGATCATTGTTATTACTGTATTGTATTGAAATTGAGGCCCACACCCTCCGATTGCTTCAATTCAGATCTGTGCTCCTTCCCCGCGTTCGAGGTTATCTCGAGGCCCAGAAAGCTTGGGAGTCAGATCAGCCCGGAATAAATGGGGACCGAGGACGCCTCGTCGAGCAAGAATTGATGTGATTGAAAAGAAAACGCTATCAAACTATAGACAGGCTGCTAGAACGAAATACAAAGAGCTAGTTACACACAAAAGTACAAAAGTGGGATGGACATCACGAAAAGAAGGGGGGAAGCCTTATGTACACTATGCATTAAATCGCAAGAGGGTGCCGTATATAAGCGCGACGCTGGCGGCAGCGTAGAGCCCATTCATTCAGCTATGGCACAGTCAATCTCTCCAAAACACTGGCGGCGCGTGTCCATGGCCCGACCCGGAGGACGAAGAAGACGGCTGGGAGTGTGAGTACCCGCCAGTCTGCACCGGGGGCAGGCTCCGCTGGGTAAACGAAAACGAATCTCGTGTCGACGGGAGTGAGAACGGGTGCGGCGCGCCTGTCACGTTGTTGTTCGACGACGACGACGCGTACGATCTCGACGAGCCAAACTCCCGGGACAGCGGGTTCGAGGGTATCCCGCCGAGTCCCTCAAAGTGCGACGGGGGCGATGACAACGGGGGGATCGTCGTCGCGGGCGACGGCGCCGCTGCCGTGTTGGACTGGAACTGCGGGTGGTGCGGCGGCTGGCCGGGGTAGAAGGGCGTGTTCAGCGTGGGGAAGAAGTTGGCTGGGGACGAGGAGGGGTTCCCGGCGCCGCCTCCGTTGGCGGTCTCTGGCCAGGATGCGGCTGTTGAGGAGTACCCGTTCACCTTGGGCCCACTTATCGGCGCAGGCAGGCGCGTCGCTTCAGGGCTGCCACCGAGCCAGCTCGACCCACTGCCTATCCGCTCCGTGCGCGGCTGCCACCCCTGGTGCGTCGAACCAAGCAGGTCGCTCCCGCCCGTCCCAAACGGCGACGACGACGACTGTGCGCCGTAGGGCGAGTAGTGCACGCTGCCACCGCTGCCACCACTGGGGCCCATGCGCGGGGAGTTACCCATCGGCTGGGTCATGCGGTCAGACGCGCCGGATGCAGAGTAGGAAAGGCGGGCGTCCGCGTGGTGTCCGTTCGTGGTGCGGAACGGCGGGTCGGGGGGCGGTGGGTACGGGTGCGGACCGCGAGTGTGCGTGTGCCCGCCGCCGCCGCCACCGCCCGCGAGTCCATACTTGCTGTGGTCGACGAGCGCGTGCTGTGACAGATGGTGGTCGCGCGGGTGCGGGTGCTGGTACGCGCTGGGGGGGAGGGTGCCGTCGAGGTGGTCGTCGCCGCCGTCTGTGGGCGAGCCGTCGAGCTCGAACCCGGCCATGTCGTCGGGGTGCTGTCCGTCTGCTAGGGCCCCCTGCTCGGCGGTCCGCGCGGACGCGGCTGCATCTGAGCGTCTACGCTTGCGCGAGTTGTTCGGTCGCCTTCGGTAGACATAGTCAGGGTACTTTGAATTGAACGTCTCCTTCAGCTGCTTGGCTTGCTCGAGGTAAAATTGTTTCTCGGACTGCAGGGCGGGATGATTAAGGAAACGCACGAGTACGACGGATGGTTGGGGATATTCACCGGAGGCATCGACACCCACTCCTTGCTCAGGATCTTGCTGATCTCCCCCGTCCGCATCGCCTGGTTTTCTGCTGAGACCTGCGGTCGTCTGCGTCGCGCGAATATCATGAAGGCGTTCATTGGACGCTTCGGTGTGCCGTCTGCGTTGAGTGTCTGCGAGATGAGCGCACTGGACTCTTCTGTGAAGCTAATTAGCGTGACGCTCGATCGCGTCGTCGCAAGAAGGTATAGGCGCACCGTCGATGTCTGCGTCGATTTTGTGCTGGTCACTGTAGAGCCCGTACTCCCGTCCTCCGACCCTGACTGTGAGGCCCGCTCGTCGTGTCGTTCTGACTTGGCGAATCCGTTGGCAGCTTTGCCGTTGGTGGTGTTGGTGGTGTTGGCAGCAGCGACACCGTAGCCGTTGGCGTACCGACTCATGGTCGCGAGAGACGAAGAAGATGGAGGGTGGTGGGAGGTGTAGACGTGGGGAGGGGTGTGTGGTGTGATCGCTGGTGTCTGAGATGGAGAAGGCAAAAGGGCGGAACGAAAAGCGGAAGCAAGACGAGTTTATGTCCAGAGTGTGCGCTGCAGCGTCCCCCCTTTGTTATTCCCAAGAGCAGCGAAGTTGACGTATTCGATATCCCAGGAAGGGCAGCATCCGGTAAACAAGCCAGCCAGCCTGATCGTCGAGCGAATCTGGTTCGAGTGCTCATGACAGCGGCTGATGGCCTTTCGAACCCTTGCGACGAGTGGCTCGCAGGCACAGCCAGCGGATTCCTTCTCTCCCGAGAATTTCAGACACACATCGCTCTCTTCTCCCCCACGGACCTTGCGTTGGGATTTCACGCCCACCCCATGATCTCGTCGCGGGCGATCAGTCTGTGGCGCGCAACAGAGCCAAATACGCGAATCTCGTCGGAGTATCAATTTCGATCCCAGATCGATCCCCGATCCACGGGCGCCAAATCCGGACACCGCGCATGCCACTCTGCCCGCATGCGATGGGGCTCCCGCGCGGCTCCGAAAGTAGCGGGGATGCGCTCGCCTGATCTTGTCACTTATGCTCACCAGCGCCTGATCCGACCACCCCGTCAACGACGACGCAGGGATACCACCGGACTCTAGCGCGCAGAAGCCACAGAAAAAAAGATAGAACACAGGAGCTCGATCGACGGTGTTTCGGTGCACCCCCGTTCTCGCGCCTGCGCGAACCTGCACTTATCGCACGCCGGAGCTTCCGGGGGGAACGGCGACGCGGTGCGGGTAGACGATGATAGTGCCAGGCCAGAAGGCACGGCGGTCGTGTCGACGTCGTGCGGCAGAAGGAACGACTAGCGCCAGCTGCCGATTGCGTGCCCGACGTACATAGTCGCCGTGTGGCGCATGATCGGTTATCATTATTATTTGCAATTCACCCCCAGTTAATCTCAGTCTGCACGAGCGCCCACCTACCCAGGATCTCGTTTCGTGCTATTTTTGCGTCGGGTGAAATCCGACGGTCGATAGACGCCTTGCTGGGATTTACCCATCAGGCGGCCCTTTTTACACGGTCAGGCCAAACTGGAGGAGGGTAGGTCTTGACACCTCAAACAAACGTTGTCGGACGCGATGTTGCTCCTTATCATTAGCGCGCGCGTCTACCGACCTAAAGGCCCCGGCGATGTATTCGATTCGTTTGCGGCCATCATGAATCATGATCGAAGAAAAGGTATCAGTCTTCCGGTTCTTCGAGACGAGATGAGCTGCAACTAGAGTAGTTCCAAACGCCAACCTCCCCACCCTATATACACGGTTTGCTGCGGAGCACCGCGACCTATGTAGGTGCCATGGTGCTGCTCCTATAAATAGAGCAAATTCTCTCCCTTACGGACTCGCCAGCCGTTTCGAATTCTTTTTGTCATTTGTCAACGCCTGCAGGACCACCAAATCGAGGGGCGTCCACGTCAATCCGTCAAGCGCGTTTGTCTCCCTGCTTCTCCGCCTCGTGTTCTGAATGGGCGAACACGTTGTCGCCGTTCCATGTTCCCTGCCGAAGTAATTGGAAGATATGGAAGATCCCTAGGCTATCCATGATCGTCAACCCACCACTTCCTGTCGGGCGGGCTGTCTGGAAGACATGGAACAAGTTTTTGACTACGTACAGAAATAAGAGAAGAAAAGAAAGGAGGTTACCTAGAACAAAGCATCCTTCTCGAACAAATGTTTTTCGATCAGGCGTCGGCGCGTAGTGTTGAACAGTTGATCAAGGCGAGAGAAGGAAGGCTGGGAGCTTCCCTTCCCTCAGCCCTCGCCAACCACGCCTCCCTGCGCTTCCATACTTAAGTATCCGAATCCAATCGATGCATCGACGCATCTCTTGTGCACCCCGGTGTTCAAACACAAACCTCCTTCGACGGCTTACCTGCCTTCCCGGTGCCCCGAATCTGATCTCCTCATGAGCAGCTGGGAACGTGATTTCACGGTCAACGCGAGCGCGTTACGGAGAGGAGAGGAGAAGAGCGCGCGGGACTCGGGTGCTCTCGCTCCAACCGCAACCGCCGTGTTGCGTTGCAATTCTCTCTCTAGTGTCTCCTGTACGGCGGTAGGGGGGTGGGGCTGAAAATCAGGAGGCAGGGGGTACTGGTCAGGCAAGAAGAGGGACCGGAGATGGGCGTTCTCCCCGTAGATCGTCTGCGTAGGGGTAAGGGTATCGAACGGTGGTGGACGGCTCCTGTGCACGGACCTGTTTCCTTTTTTTTGTGTGCTCATTTCTCGGAGGGTTAACGTTTCACGCTCGCCGGTGTTTTGTTCTCACAAAAATTTCGCGGTGTTTCGCGCTCGTTTACCGATGTTGACCTGACATAGCCAATAAATATCTTCAGGTTCACCCGCGACGGCCAATATATCACTATGAAGGGCCGTCGGAAGAAAAACACCCCAATTCGAGCTAACTGAATGGTAGCCCGCGACTAACGTCAAACATCTCCATCTCCGTCGCCTCGACGCTCGACGCTCGAAGCTCGAAACGCCCTCTGTTGGGTCGTCGGTCGTCGTCGGTCAGTAGTCGTCGTCATAACCAAGGGTCCAGCTTCCGGGCTCCGGGCTACGGGCTACAGGGAATGGAAAAAGAAACCTTGTGCTTGCCTATCCTAGGTATGTAAGCCAGGCGACGATGGCATGGGGGTCGAATTTAGCCTTTGTAGAAGTCGAGATGCGCGCAACAGGTGTGGGCATATGATCCACGCGGAATGGGGATATGTAATGGAGCTGGGACAAAGCCCCGGGAGATGCCGTGCCTTTATCGGGACTGGGGCACGGCGCCGGGCGGGACCCCAGATCACGACTTTCGACGGAGAAGGGAGAAGGGAGGAAAAGCGAAGATTGCACTGGGTGACATATGTTGTTGGAGTCCCGGGATTTCGTGTGGCGCACATGGGTGTACGTGCACGCAAATTCTGGCGGCTGGTGGTGTTTAACCTAGATGAACTTGAGAAGGCAGAGTTCGTTGCAATGATAGACAGACAGACTTTTGTTGAAGGTAATAGAATAGAATACCCAGGTATTCAGTAGATATTAGATACTATGCCGATTGGCATGCGTGGTCAGTTTCTGTCTTGACGAGATCAGAAGCGTTGACAGTTCGTGTTTATCGTGGCAATCGGGACGTATGGCGCGCCACGCTCCTTCCCGGTGCTACCTGGGGTCCCGCTGGGAAATCACGGAAACACGGTGGGTGATAAGATACCCTCCTTGTCCCTTGACCAACATCACCCTGAATAACGGCTTCAGAGGTTATACATATCGATATCTCAGATCGAAGAACCGCATAACCATGAAGGACACCTTAACCGATGCGAGTATGTCTGTCCTGTCTTCTTCTGTTGCCCGTAGCTAGCACACTTCGAGAAGGGCGTCTGATGACTCTCCTTCGATTTCAGATTTTCCCCGCACAGCGGATGGGCGAGTCTATCATCTCGGTGTGAGGCCAGGAGAGGTGGCAAATCGTATCGTAAGGCGCCCTTTGGGCGGGATCCTGGGGTAAAACGAATATTAACGTCGGATCTTCGTTGTTGTCTGCAGGTAACGGTCGGAACGCCGTCGAGGGCAAACACCATCGCGTCGCATCTGGACGAGAAGCCGAAACCGTTCGTGCTCACGTCCGAGAGAGGCTTCATGACCATCACCGGTCTCTTCAAGGGCACCCCCGTCTCCATCGTCAGCATCGGAATGGGCAGCCCAAACATGGACTTCTTCGTTCGTGAAATCAGAGAGTCCGTCGCTGGCGACTTGGCTATCATACGGTCAGTAGGTCGGAAGAAATTCGTTCTATTCTCGTGTCTGACCATAATGTGTATACGCACATGGTCATATAACAAAAAGGCTGGGATCATGTGGCGCGCTGGTTGACGTGCCCGTGTCAACCGTCGTCGTCCCAAAAGCCTGCGTCGCCGTGTCTCGAAACGTCGATTTCGACTTTGTTAATCCCCAGAGCTCCAGCGAACCTGCATACAGGATTAGTAAACCCGTACGTCCTTCTGCACCTCGATGCACCATTTTCTCTGACCTACTTTTTGTTTTATTCCGCAGGTATCGGCTGATCCAGAATTGACGGAGCAGGTCCGTTGATGCTTCCTCGAATTCTATTTTCGACTTGTCTTTTTGTTTCCTGGAAAATGACTTCGGAGACTTATTCACTTCCGGAGTATAGGTTCTCAAGGCTCTCGAGGCCGTCCATCCGCCAACTTCCAAGGCGGGCATCCTTGCGGGGACAGTGAATGCTTCGGCTGATAGGTTCGTCTTCGTCCTTGGACCATTCCCACCCAACCCTCCACTACGAAAAAGAGATTAATTTGTTTCGATGCAGTTTCTACTCGTCTCAAGGGAGACAGACCTCGTTTCCAGATCACAATGCGGACCTTATCGAGCATCTGGTGAAGAGTGTCCCAGACCTCGCGACACTCGAGGTGAGTCCGGCGTCTTAGTGGTCACTTTGTCTGGTATTAAAAATAGACGGTGTGCAGATGGAGACGTTCCATCTCTACCACCTGGCGGCGTGCTGGGGGGGACGGACCACCGGTCCCAAAGCGGGCGCGGCGCCTCTCACCACCGGGCCTGTTAGTCCCACCGTCGAGGCGAAGGCGGCGGGTGGTGGTGGTTCCATTCCTTCTTCGGCCCAGGATGCCAATGAAGCTGGCCCCTCGCTGAGCGACGGCTCCGTCATTCGCGCGGCTGCGGCGCAGATGGTCTTCGCGGCTCGCACCTCCAGGGACTTTATCACCCCACAGGAGGTGGAAGACACCGAACACTGGACGGCTCTGGTGAGTCCCTCTTCTCTTCTACGGCGCGGGAGACACCCTCTGACCTAGTCGATGTTTGTTACCCTCCTTCCGCTTCTCTCTGCCGCCTCTATCATTCTTCGTGGTCTGCAGGGTGTTTTAATCGCGCTGGCGAACACGAAGATACCGCAAGACGTAAGTGCCTTTGTGGTGGCTATTTTGATCGGTGGTTCGCTGACATAGGCGACGAATCTTCGCAGCGGATGCACTCGGACAAGGGTAGCGTCTGGGAATTGGCGTAGGCGGGGGTCTCTCGAACTGTATCCCCCGATTTAAATATATCTAGAAGGATCTGTTTATTCGTACACTATGCCTGGATGAAGCTTTTTGACCGTTCAGATTTATGCCCACGATTTAACCAGAATCCGAAAGGGACTTTGTTGTCGCGGTGTGTGATGGTATTTGTGTCTATCTACGATTCAGGTAACGTACGACGGGCAAATAGGGGCGATCTATTGGTGAAAGGAGAGTTGTTGTTTGGTAAAGGAGGTACTACGTGAAACAAAAAGACAAGGGTTCAGATTCCGAAGTCCCATGGATGGTGCTAAACTTCCTGGAATCCAGACCTTGTGGTTCCACAATCCCTGGCTCATCATTTTCGCAAGGCTTTAAAGCTGTCATAGGGAAAAGCCCTTTAATCCGAACCAGCCCAAATCACATCCACGACACCAAGGTCCCTGAGAGAGGAAGCATCGTCCTGGTTTATCAGCCTGCAATTCGCCACGCGTACGTAGATGATATGGGCGGGTGCGAGGGCCTCTCGCATGGCGATGACAGTGGACACGAAATGCGGAGACGGCGACCCCGACAAAGGCGACGAGGGGCCATTGCCGTGGGCATGGTGTCGAAGCTTCCTCAGAGGCTTTATCTTCCTTCCCCTCTGGGGAGCATCAGCTGCCTGCTTGCCCCCCTGTTGAACCACCACCACAGCCTCCCTCGTGATCGTCCCCGTTGCTCCATCGAGACCCTTGCTGCCCTCTTCCAAAATAACCGCGCTTCTGTTCCTCGCGAGCACGACCGCACGCAGACCGTCAAAATCGACATCTTGGCACCCCCAGAACGAGAGCGCCTCGAGTCTGGGACAGAGCTTGACGCCACGCTGTACGCCGACGGCGACACGCTCCTTCAGCCCGTCGAGCAACCGACCGACGCCCGCGCATGAGTCGAGCGAAAGGGAGGTGAGCAGCGGCATGTATCCGAGCACGCCTTCCGCACGACCGAGCTCGTCTGAGATGCGGAAGTGGGAGAGGGTGAGGTGGGTGAGATTGGGCAGCCGGGGATCTCGGAAGATGGACTCGAGGCGCGGAAAGATGGGCAGGGCGTCGATGGCACCAGCCGCCTCCCGCGCGGCACTGTCGACGTTCGTAAACGCCACCTTCTCGAGCGACGGGAGCGAGAATTTACGGAGCACGCAGGCCGTCGTGTCTTCCCCGGCAGTCTGCAGGCTCAGATCGCGAAGACCAGGGAAGCTGATCACTCCTCGTGTGTACTTGTGCGAAGAGGTAGTCGGATGGTATCCGCGCGCGTTCAGCGTCTCTAGGATGCGCTTGGCGGGGAGCTCTTCCACCCAGATGTCCAGCTTTTCCATCCCTGGTGCGTCGATCATCGTGAGGAAGCGGTGCACATCGGCGGTGTATGGGTACGTCCAATCGATGGCTTTCAGATGTTCCAAACGAACTGGGTGCATCTGTACGAGACTGCCGTCGACGGCATCTGCACTGTCGATAGGTGGAGGGGTGACGTCGAAGTATGGAACCGTGTTGACAAGAATCAGTTCTTCCAAAAGTGGAGTGAGAGTCAGGAAGCGACAGAGCGACGACATCTTCAGGTGATAGTCGTGACGAGTACTGTTCATCTTCCTGGGAGAATAGTACAGGTCGAGGGTTCGTAGATTGGAAATGAACGCGACTGGGAAATTAAACAAAGGAACCTGCTCCAACTTGAGGTAGAGCAGAGCGCTGTTGCTTGGAGCTGGTCGTCGGCTCTTGAGGATGGCATCTTCTTTGTCGATTAGACTTGGAGCCTCAACGAACGAGGGGTTGGGCGTTGAGATCGACAGCGTGAGCTGAGCAAGTCGAGGAAAAGCATTGGCGAAGTCGTTGATAAAAGGTAGCAGATACACGATAGGTAGAGGTATTTTGAAGCAGAGAGCAAGGGCACCGACGCGGCTGAAATGCTGCGACACATTCGCGAGGAAGTCCACCATGTAGGAACACTCTTGATTCGCCTTGTGTTCCTGTAAACTCGAATAGTCAACTTCAAGGAGAGATCTTCCGGACCGAAGCAGAAAGGTTTGCGCGACTTCTGGATTTCGGAAGCCTTCGAGAATGATACGAGACCATAGCTGGGGTGTAGAAAGCGCAATGGCGCGCCACTTCTTGGAGACGTGCGACACGACCACAGGCGGCCGATAATTAATGTCTTCAAAGTCCAAATCAGTAAATGCCGTGAATATCTGGATCAAGAGCTCTGTCGGAAGCCAGTTGATAGGTTCCTTCTGCGCTTCCAGCTCGTTTCGCCTTGCTTCCAGCTCCAAACGCTCCGCCACTGCCTCGTCCTTCATCTTCCGGAGATCATCCAAAATTCGTTGAAATTCTGCTTCGCGACGGACGAGAGTTTGGATCTGAGCATTCGCGAGATCAATTTCCTGCTCGAGCGCTGCCTTACTGCGTGAAGCAGTTTGCATGATTGAGGTGGTGGTGGCAGGGGAGAAAGGCGAAGTTCGAACACTGAGCCGGCATTGTCTGCGCGTCACAGCTTTCGTGACTCGCGACACGTCAGGTGACATTCTCGGCGATCGCGTTGCCGAGCCGGTGTAGAGTTGGACAGAAATGTTGACCTGCAGAGACTTGTCCCTTGCCAGCACTTGAATTCTGCCTCTATGACTTCAGATCCCTTTATACAAACCCCAATCTCATGCATTCGCAGTCAAAATAAGTCACAAAGCCTTCAAGAGTAATTCACCACCAGGCATCAAGATTTTGTTGGGATGACGTCCATTCACGTAACTTGAACCCCATGGGCCACGGTGCAATCCCTGACACCCGTTTCCCGTTCTTTTCTTTGCAGTGACGCGTCCGCTCACATATAGGTCTCGCATCCGACATGCCTCTATTTTCAACGCGAGGCCCCACTAAAGATAGCTTGGAGTATGGCAACATAGACGATGTCCAATCTCACCCTAAATCCAGCAGGCAGCTTACGACGTCCAGCCTCATTCGCAGGCTGTTCTTCAGCTTAGTTGTTGTCGCAGCACTTGCTCAAGCATTTTTTCACCATCTGCCAGACCTTCAACGCCTCATAGAAACACCCCCAAGCTCTGGTCCTTCGCATTCACGGGACATCGCAAAATGTCCTGGTATGGCGCCACCTCTTTTGTCTATTGGGACGATCTTAACCACATTGCCTTTCAGGTTACGAATTGCACTCGTTGAAACACACGAACACCGGACTCACCGCTCGTCTTTCCCTTGCGGGACCTGCCTGCAATGCTTTTGGAACCGACATCTCTGACCTCACGATCAAGGTCGTCTATGAAACTCAGTCTCGGTGAGTAGCCAGAAATCTTCGAGCTTATGTTTTGCTCATCTTCCTTCGTGAAGTCTCCATGTCAACATCTTCGACACGGCCGACAAACAGTACACCATTCCCGAGTCTGTGATCAAGCTACCTCCACCTCCAACCCAATCTTTCACCAAGAACTCGGACCTCGTTTTAAATTACGAACCGTCGCCATTCGCGTTTTGGATCACGAGAAGATCACAACCCGATGCGACACCGCTGTTCGACACCAGAATCACCTCGTTACCGGAGACGCCTATCTCGCCTGTAATCCCAGGCGACAACTCGACAGCTCTGGGTGGATTTCCTCTTGTTTTCGAGGACCAGTATCTCCAGGTAGAATGTTCGTGGGTCTTTGGATAGAAATCTTGCTGACAATGATCTCTTGCTAGTTGGCTTCTGCTGTTCCCAAAAATACAAACATCTACGGGCTAGGCGAGGTTATCGCTAGCTCAGGATTTCGTAGAAACGTTGGTCCCGCCAATGACACGATCCAGACGATGTGGAGTCGCGACGTGTCAGAGCCAGTCGACGAGAACTTGTAGTATCTGTTCAAGTCACGTGAGGGCGTTTGGAGAACTGACGGTGCTTCGTCTGTAGATACGGCGCGCATCCCGTCTATTTGGAGCATCGTTTCGACCCTCAAAGTGCAACCTCGCAATCTCATGGCGTTTTCTTGTTCAGGTAAATTTAGATTTTTCTGCTCATCGACAGGAAGTAGCTAATACGTGCATACTCTACCTCAGTGCTGCTGGCGGAGACATCCTCCTCCTGACGCCTCCCTCGTCCAATGTTTCTCTCGTCGAATATAGGATGATTGGTGGTGTTTTGGACTTCTACTTCTTCTCTGGGCCCACGCCGAATGAAGTCATCGAACAATTCGGCGCCCTGATTGGCCTTCCAACGTGGCAACCTGCATGGGGTTTTGGCTTCCATCTCTGCCGGTACAAAGGGATTCCCTTTCCCTCCTTAATTTTTGCTAACCACCGTCGTGATAGATGGGGCTACAAGGACTTGAACGAAACGCGTGAACAGGTTATCCGGATGCGCGAAGCCAATATTCCTCTCGAAGGTACTCTTCCTTGTGGCGCAACAACGACCCTTCGAGCTGAGCTTCTGACGCTGTTGCTAATCGGCAGTTATGTGGAACGACATCGATCTTTACCATGCCGTTCGTGATTTCACTTCTGACCCTGTCAGCTATCCTGGCGACAAAGTGCGAGAGTTCATACGAGAGCTGGTGGGTCTTTTCTTTTTGTTCTTCGGGCGGTGAAATGAACTTACGCGTTCATAGAACGCAAATCACCAGCACTGTGAGTTGCGAGAATAGGTCGTTCCTGCGGTGATGCCGTCGAGACGAGATGGCGACTGATGCGATGCGCCTACCAATCATCTCCAGATATCCCAATCGTCGACGCAGCCATCCCGAAACAGGTCAACGCAACCGACCTGGTACGTTACTTCCCTCTCCACCCGCGCGCGAAGCCCGTCTTCCGCTTGCCAGTCGGCGTCCAAGTCAAGGTTACTGATCTCTGTCGTCCTGTCTAGTATCATCCGTACACAAAAGGAGTCGAAGAGTCAGTAAGCTTCTGAAATCTGAGCGTCTAGGCTACCAATCTGGTCGATTACTCGACTCCTTTGATGCCCGATGTTGGACGCTGATTCGACTGCCTTTCGAAATTCCTAGGGAGGTGTTTATCGCGAACCCCGACGGTACGGAGTATGTTGGACAGGTCTGGCCGGGATACACGGTAAGTTAGCCTTTTTTCCTTTGTCGCACCCGGGTCACTTGCCTTCCCATTTGGCTTCGACACGCTGTGCACATGGTTCGTCATGCTTACGAACCCCTCGACGGGCATTTGCTGGTTAGGTTTTCCCTGACTGGTTCCAGAAGAACACCCAGCAGTGGTGGACGGATGCATTCCGCAACTGGAGTGAATCTGGGATCGAGTTCTCTGGCATCTGGCTGGACATGAACGAGGCTAGTTCGTTTTGCGACGGATCTTGGTGCGTCGTGTTCTCTGAAATCAAACCCCAAAAATCGCTTCTGCTTTTGCGCTTACGTTCTGGACCCTATGTTTGTTCCTGCAGTGGGACTGGAGCCAACCTCACAAACACGAGCGTGCCGTTTATTCTCCCTGGCGAACCAGGTCATTTGATTCTCGGTGGGTTTGGCTTTCTTTCTTACAGTGAAAGGATTTGTCGCTGAAGAGAATGCCTGCAGATTATCCGGAATGGTAGGATCTCCTTCGGACGCATAACTTCTCTCGGGCTAACAGGAGACATGCAGCTACAACGCAACGATTTTTGGCCCAAGCGGAAACATTACCGTGAATGGAACATTGACATGTCGTTTCAACGAGGATGCCACGCCCATTTCGTCGATCAACAAGCGAGGCCTTGGAGCTGGCAAGCAGCGGAATGTCGATCTGAACACCCCTCCATATGCAATTCATAACGGTAATTCGTATTCTTATGAGGTCATCGCAAACCTTTATAATAACGAACGCGCAGGCTTCGGACGATTGTCGACCCATGCTTTGGCAACTAACGCAACCCACGCCCAAGGTCAAGCTGAGCTTGACGTCCACAACCTTTGGGGTTTGATGGAACAGAAGGCGACGCATCTTGTGCTTCAAGAAATCATTCCGAAACAGCGTCCGTTCATCATTAGCCGCTCAACCTTCCCTTCCTCGGGGAGATGGACAGGACATTGGGTGCGTAGTGAGGTGTGATATGGCCTGCCTTTCCACATGCTGACCTCGCTTCGAACTTGCCATTTCTCGCAGTTGGGAGACAACTTCAGCTTATGGTCATATCTCCGATACAGCATAGCCGTAAGCCCTTCATTTCAGACTGGCTCACCTGCTCAGCTGACGTTGAGATTTCCTATCAGGGTATACTGCAGTTCCAGATATTCCAGATCCCTTTTGTTGGTGCGGACACGTGTGGCTTTGGTGCGCTCCGTGTTTCATCCGAAGTTATCTGATAATGGCTGTTTTCTGGATCAGATGGAAATACGGACGAGGAGCTCTGCAATCGGTGGATGCAGCTCTCTGCCTTCACGCCCTTTTACAGGAACCATAACATTAAGGGCGCGATACCACAGGAGCCGTATCGCTGGGACAGTGTCGCGAACGCGTCGCGTACTGCTATTTCCATTCGTTATTCCCTGCTGCCATACTGGGTGAGGGCGCTTTCTCTCCTCTCCGCACTCCGCAGTCTGGGATTGATGATGTTCGGTCGTTCTTTTATTTTTAGTACACTCTGTTTGCGAACTCGTCCATGTATGGAACCCCTCCAGTTCGGGCGCTCTTCTTCGAGTTCCCCAACGAGCCCGAACTGTTCGACGTCGATGCTCAGTTCTTGATTGGAGCTGATATCCTGGTTACCCCCGTGTTGGAACCGAACGTATCCACCGTGTCAGGTCTGTCATTTTGGCTAAAGCAACTTTAGAGTCCGTCGGCTTATTCCCATGTCAGGCTTCTTTCCTGGGCGCGGCCAAGTCATCTGGCGTGATTGGTATACCCATAGTGTCGTCCACAGCGTTCCTGGGGAGCCCACAAGTGTGTCGGCGCCTCTGGGCCATATTAACGTCCATATTCGCGACGGCTCTGCACTCCTTCTGCACGTTGAGCCCCGGTATACGATCGCAGAAACGCGCCAAGGACCCTACTCCCTTCTCATTTCTCTGAATGCGGAGGGTGTGGCATATGGATCCGCATATATCGACGACGGGATTAGCTACCCACCTGGCCCACATCGGATTCTCACTTTCTCGATACGCAACAGCTCTATGTCGATCTCCAGCACAGGATCTTTCAAAATACCGCAGAAACTTCAGGAGATCACAGTTCTCGGGGTGAACGCCAGACCGAAGGCTGTTGATCTGAACGGACGGGCGACTGCGCAGTGGTTGTATGCGCCCCAACAGGATAAGCTTTTGATGAGCGGTGTTGATGCGGATTTGAACGACCCTGTCTCCTTAGAATGGAATTAGTGGTGAAAGCTTGTATCTCTCGAAAACGGGCGGTGGTGTGTTGTAATTGTGTGGTAAATTGACTGTTACTGCTTCATGATCCCAGAACAATTGATTCGGCGGTGTCCATAGCAGTCGGCGGAAATAAGAGGCGCCGGTTCATGAGCGCTTAGAATCGATCGACACGAATTGCTCTGCTGATGCACTGCCTTAATTTTGTGTGCGATGACTTCATGAGAGCTCTTGCGATCTGGAATCTCCACATGAGCGGTCGTGTTGCCATTTGGCCAACAATGCTTCCAGCAGGCGGGGTATTCTGACGCAACAAAAATACTTCGAAAAGACCCTTCCTCTTACCAGCAGGACCCTGCCCTGTCAAACGCCAACCTGACCTCAGGTCTAAGGGTCGTTTACGCTTTGATGTAGATCAGCGCCTGAAAAATGCAAGAATGGTCCTGAAGACTATAGCAGTCCTCCCGCTCGGGTTCGTGCTAGCGTGTAATAAATACAAGGGTTTCGGACGAGGTCCCCGCTCCCGAGGGGAGGAATGTCTGATCATGATCGGGTCTCCGTTTACAGGGTTTCTCAAAAACTATGAGAATCCGGCCCGCACCTGTCACTCAATTTCCCAGAATGGAAATTTGGTTTGACACGGCTTTCTGGCCGCTCGTTCACAGCTTTCCACCTCCTGCCGACCATATTCTTCCCTTCACAGCACTATGGACTACCGTTCTATAAGTCCCGATGTCAAAGAATGCGCCCTGAGGCTCTGGGAGGCTGGCTGGACTCCTAATGAAATTTCAGCTGTGCTCTGCGTCTCGACAGCGAGCATCTACCGATGGTCGGACATCTATGAAGAATGTGGCAAAGTTACATGGCCAGCATCTGGCTTACAGGGACGACCTCGCACGATAGGACTTGCTGCCATGGCGGCTATACGAGAACTCTATTCATCTCATCCAGACACATACTTAGACGAGCTTCAATGGCACCTGGCTATACATTTCGACATCGCTATTTCCATCTCAGCCCTTCAAAAGAATCTCCAGCAAGTGGGCCTTACACGGAAAGTCTTGCACAAAATTGCTGCTGAGCGCAACGGGGAGCTCAGGGCCGAGTTTCTTCATGTCATTCAGCACAACTTCTCAGGAACAGGCCGGGAATTTGTTATCGTTGACGAGTCTAGCAAAAATGAGCATTCGCTTATCCGTACCCATGGCCGTTCTCAGATTGGGCAACCCGCTGATATTGTTGCACCATTTGTCCGTGGACAACGGTATTCTCTTGCAGCTGCTATGACTGTCGAAGGCTATTTGGCGGCAAATGCCATACCAGGCTCATTTGACTCATTCTCTTTTTTTGACTTCATTGTCGAGGACGTTGTGAGTGTATCTTTTTTTTTTTATGGACCCTTTTTTGTCTTATCTAGACCAGCTTCCTCAGATGAACCCGTACCCCGATGATTTTAGTGTCCTGGTCCTTGACAATTGCCGTATCCATCACACGGAGATGCTCCAGGAGGTCCTGAATGCTGCCCGTATGTGAAGAGCCGCATATATTTGTCTTTCTGATGCGTACAATGATATCTAGACATTATGCTCCTCTTTCTTCCACCCTACTCGCCGGATCTAAGCCCCATCGAACTCTCTTTCAGCACCTGGAAAGCACACCTTCGGCGAAACGGCACTATTCTTCACGACGACAACGATGATGACCCAATACTCACTCTTCTTGAATCAACAGGCTGTATCACAGGAGAAATGGCAACCAACTGGTTTCGCCATGCAGGTTACATTGTCAACGAATAATTACTTGTAGCGACAGTAGGAATAGATGTATGAAAAGGGAATGTTTTAGTTGTCCTTCCAGACACCAGCCTTGATGTCCAAGAGAAAGTCTTTATTTTTGCGAATGATGCGGGACCAAGAAAGTTGAAGAAAACCAGCGAAGTCACGCCATTCGGCAGGAGAAAGCTGCTCAATATCATCACCGGGCCGGAATTCGAGTTTTTCGAGGCGTTTTCGATCAACGTCGTCAATAGCGTAGCGAGAACAGAAGGCGGTCAGTTCAATGTTCGGAATAGCACGGCGAGGCTCAGCTGGCTCATGAGAGATGTCTGGGACAATGGCGAGAGCAGATGCAGTTGCAGGCGGAAGTGCAGCAGAAGGAGGAAAGGCGATGGCTGAAGTACCAAGACGATTAGCGTTTGATGATGACAGTTGTTGCTGGAGCATGTTGATCATGATCAGTTCCATAAGCGAAGGAGTGGCAGCAGTAGTGGCAGGTGCAGGCGTCAGAGTAGCAGCAAGTGCAGGTGCAGGAGCGGGTGCAGGAATAGCAGCGGCAGCAAGCGCTGTGGGGGTCAGGGCGATGGTAGGAGCAGCTGCTTCACGCGGAATGCTGGCTGTCGAAGCACGCGGAGGATGTATGCGGCCGGCCTGGTCAAATTGGTTCGAGATTGGTGGCGAATCTAACGTGGCTGTTCCACGAGCCTAGAAAATTTGTGAGAAAACATTGAATACAGATAAAAGAGAACCAACGAGATGCGAAGCCCAAACACCAATCCTAAGGTCAGTCAAGTCCCAGTAACTGCCCATCTTATCGGCATAAATTCGTTTCTGGGGGAAAAGCGCATTATTTCCAATAGGATACTTCGCGAGGAGTTCCTGCTTGAATGGCCCAACTGCTTTGTCGAATTGAATCTAAGAAATATGTACTCAGAGACGGCTTGGGAAGAGAGATAAAATGAATGTACACGCTGCTCAACAACATGTTGACCGGTTGACGGAAGCTCAAGATTGGAGTAATCAAATTCCTTGTCAGTTTGCTTGCCCTCACCGGTATCCCATTCCTGTGGACAGGATGACTATCAAACAAAAACAGCACAGAAAGAACAAACAGGCTTATCTGCTGGCTTTGACGGCGGTGGCATGGTCAACATGACAATAGCCGGCTTCTTGTTGCGGAATGTTTCAATGAGGGCAGGATACCCCGTCGCACCTCCAAGGAGAAGCGCTGTGGCGTTCTTTGGGCTCTGTGGCTTCCAGGTAATCTTATCTTGGAGGATGTTCAAGACCGGACAAGGGAGGGCATTTGAGATTGCAACGAGGAAGGTGGAATAGCTATCGGTACTCTTGAACTTGAAGGGTCCACGCTGGAGATACTTATCAGCCTCCGCAACTTTTGCAGCGCGGGATCCTCTCTGCGGCGGCGGCAGAGTCTTTTCTACGAGAATGTATGCAGTAATTTCATACATTTCTTGAGCTTCGACAACGTCCTCATCATCTTCTATGGCATGATTTGTTAGAACATGAGTACAACATGCATATAGGCACATATGTAGAGGCCGGCGCACCTTTCACAGACGGCTTTGCCTTCTTCCGCGGTTGTACCTCTTCCTGCACATCCCCGGTGTCTGATTCAGATACGTCGCCTAAAACTTTGCGCTTGGAAGACGATGGAGTCGCCTTCTTCGTAATAGCATTTTTCCCTTTTGTGGTGGCCTTCTGCTTTGACTGGTCCTTCTTCTGCTTCGCAGCCTGTCGTTTGGCTCTTTCGCTTGCTTGCTTCTCAACGATCTTTGGGACCGTAACTTTGAAGCGAAGCGCAGCTGATAACACGGCCATGAGCACTCCAATAGTTAGGGGAGCGGTAGTGACCATGCTACTTACCCTTGGGAACGTCGGCCATAGTCGCCTTGACCATTGCCGTGATGTCAGGCTTGCCAGAGGCGAGAGAAGGGTCATTCTCAGGTCCAGACATGTAAGAGAGAGCGTCATCTTCGCTCTCTACACACGCAGAGGTGTTAGACGATGCAGCGCGAGTTTGAAGAACCATGGTGGTGGCGGTAGAGGGGCAAGGTGCAGCGAGGAACCACTGTTCGGCGTGATTACTACATTTGGAAATTATGTGACTCTAGCGAACTCAATTCTCATAGTTTTCGAGAAACCCTGTAAGACGGAGATGGAAGGGGTGTTTATGATGATATCAAAGGTCGCAAGCAGCTTCAGTGAAATCTCAAACAGAGGACGACACTTTGTAAGAGGCCAGTCACACATGATGAGAACCCTGTTCTCTCGTTCGTGCACACAACTCATGTTACATAGCTTAGATAAATTTAGAATTTGCGCCTTCATAATGTCTGGACTCTACACGCGGTCAATACGCAGTGTCATTCCCACACGTCTAATTCGTTGAATTTGAGGGCACCGAGCAAGGTGATCTGGGCGATCTACTGGAAATAATGGCCCAACTTTTTTTAATCCGTAATGTCTACTTCCTCTCATGTTACTTGTACCTTTCAGGCAGAGTGACATAAGCCCCCATGGGCGGCTATTTTGGAGCACGCGGCATGATCATGTGCTGGGTCTGCGTGGTCCGTGTCAAAATTCCAGTCCGATGCGCACTGTTGAAGGTAGGGGGCTTCGGTCTGGTAAGTGAAGTCACCAGGTTTCGAGGCACTCGAGGGACGCAAGAGAGGATAGATTACTAATGGAGTCGAGGGAGAGGTACATGTGCTCTCCGACAGTAGCCTGGATCGAGAAATTGGTCCTCTAAATCTGCAATCCCAGCTCCAAGGAAAGAAGTGTGCGCTATGAGCTACATCTCACTGCTCAGACCAGGGAGAGCGACCAAAAGGTCCCACCCCACGCTACGACATTCCAAAGATTTGTTCACGACCCAAGAAATTTTATCTCAATGTTCTTGAAATTGTGGGAGAAAGGCTCGTTCACAGCAGCACCGTTAATAGCTAGTTCCCCACTGGAAGCTACCTTGCCTGAGTAGTCGATGTTGTCTCTGTTGTCACTAATGCAGATATTTACATTCACTGATTTTTTATTCTCTCTGACCTCGTTTCATCATACTCCATAGTCCCCTCATTTCCTGTTGGTGGGCGGCTATTCTGTGAGCCTAAGCCAAGCCGCTACGCAGAGTCCGATCACGGATTGTGTGGCGCGATGAATGTGGGAAAGACGTGGCCCTAGAGAAAGCTGAAAACATCAAAGTTTGCATTCTCCAGCTCACCTCAGCTCAACCTCAAATTTTCAAGATGAAACTCTAACATATTCTGTGGTTGGTCAAATTGGCCATCGTCTGGACGTGGTGATGTTAAGGCCTGCTGCACCGTAGATATCACACTTCAGTATCACACAGAAAGTCATGATGTTATGTGGTCGCAAAAGGTCAAGTACATCAGAAAGGTCAAATACATCAGAAAGGTCAGGTACGAGTGGTGGACGGGGGGGAAAGAAGTAGTCGCAGGCGGCAGAAGAAAAAGAGATGAGACGCCTTCGCCTCGCCAGTGTCCCCAGGATGAATAGTTAATCTGATGAACGTGTCTGGGTGGTGAGGACCGGGTTGAAGTTGAGCTCGCGGAGCCCGTTTTCTTGCATCCGCTTGAGGAGGAAGCTGATGGGTATGGCATACGTGATGTTGATGTCCTCGGAAGGCTTGGCACTACTACCACCAGTGAGGAGGCCGCCGATGCGTCCAAGGCCGTCGACGATGACAGATCCCGAGTCGCCCGTCTCCGAGAACGCGTGCGACTTGGAGTCGAATGGGAGGATCGCCCATTCCTTGGATGTCTCGGCTTTTTCATCGTTGTGGTAGTCGTTACGGGCGTAGGAGAAAACGTTGTTGGCACGGCCGACAGTCAGGCCGGTGGTGTTGCCGCGCTTGAGCACCATAAGGCACGGCTCATTGTTCTTGTCGAGCACAGTCGGGTGCCGCATCTCCTCGTCCGGAATCGTGCCCTCGAGCCGCAGAAGTCGGTCAAATGGATATTCGAAGGGATGGTCATGCGGGGGCTTGGGGTTCATCATACGGATGAGGTCGTAGATTGAGATGCGGGTACCGAGGTCGATCGCATTGCCTTCAAAGTTGCTCGCGTCGATCTTGGAGGTGTCAATCTCGATGACGGCCCAGTCCTCGGTATAACCCTCGCCAGCGTTGATGGGAGGAGAGAGGATGACCTGCCCCAGAATACGGCTATCCGGGGTGGCCCACTGAGTCGCAACGTTCTGGTAAAAGGGGTTGAGTGCTTCCATTGCCTCCTTTGCCGCAAGCAACCTGTCCTGGGCACGCTGGCGCTCCTTGCTTGCTTCTGGGTCATCCCTCCCCTCAAGCTCCGCAATACATTGATCATAATAATCGGCGTTAGATTCCTGGCCCCTGATCTCGTTCTTGATGACTTCGAGGTACTTGTTGAACGCAGTATCGCCGAAGAGCATAACGTTATAACCGGGCTCTCTGTCGTCCGTACGCTCAAGGTGCTTGTTCTCGTCCATGTCCGGCGTGAAGATGACGTGGCGAGCGGTGACGAGGAGAAGTCTCTCGGTATTCCCGCCCTCTGTAATGAAGAAGCCGCCGGTACCCTCACACCAAGGCATAGACTCAGCACAGATGGGGAGACCGAGCATGGTGGTAAGAGGTTCGCGGACAGCTACGGTGGGTTTCCAAGAATAGCGCGCGGGCTTGAGGAGCTTGGGACCCCCCGAGCGGGTAACGACCGACTCACGGATCTGCACGTCGACGTCGGTGATATTGCACTCCACAAGAAGCTCGTGGCACTTGTAGGCCGCGATGACGCCTTCTTCGCCAGAGAGAGATGTGGGGATCACGCCGATCCATAGGATAACAGGGGCGAAATCCTCTTCAACTATCCCGATGCGGACGACGTCAAGGCTAGTCCACTTCACCTTCATCGAGTCCAGAAGGTCCATGACCTTGAGAGCCAGATTGTCTTCCCAGACGTCCTTGATCGGGTGGTTGCCGACAACGCGGAGGTCCTTGTCATTGTAGGACGCCCATCGGCCAGTGGGCTCCTTCCAGAGAGTGGTGCCAGTGCGAGCAACCAGGCGCGGGGCAGAGGGCAGACGAAGGTAGTAGAACATGGCCTCCCTCTCGGAAGGAGGGGACGTGGGCATAATGGAAGAGTTCTGCGGCGGGAGGAGGAGGAGGAGGAGGATTGATTAATCGGGGAGGTCCCATTAAGGAACAACCGGCCTGTGTACCTAGAGCTACAAGCTACAACAACTCTATGTTTACATAGGAAGGAAGGAAGGAAGGAAGGAAGATGCATAGGAGTACATGCACGTCCTTGACTGCTGTGTGATTTCAACCACGACCAACTGATAGCCCAGGAAGACTCACGGTCTCAGGTAGAAGGTACATTGAATAATAAGAAAAAAGGGAGGACCACGAAGTACCCGCATTTGTAGCTTGTTAGGCCTGTTGGCCTGAGATGTGGAGAAAGGTTTCAAAGCTCTCTTGTATGTTGTTGTTACTTGAACAAGAGGCCCCACCGGACATAAGACAGGAGGATGGCCTGACGAGGATGGCCTGACGAGGAGAGGCTCGAAAAGCGAGACGAGACATTCACGCCGCGCATAGGTCAAATTTTTGTGGTAAAAATGTCTCCAAACCCTGAATGAACATGTTAAATGGAATGGCGCAGTTACGGAGGTGGAGGCATCTGAAAGACACTTAAGAAATTTACCAGTAGATTTGAGACGCAAAGAGCCACTTACAAACACTGAACATCCTTTCCGCCTCGAGGCAACCACTTTATGTAGAGCACAGCGTTTTTGACCTGGAGACAAAGGGAAAAAGGCACAGAAAAATTTAATCTCCTTCTCCTGCCTGAAACATTCAATAAAATTTGAAATTGGCCTCACTGGTAAGCGGTGGTGGGATTTGCTTCCCACCATTGAACCTGTTTTTGTGATGAATTTTCTAGGAGACAAACGACATGGAATACCTAACAGGTTCAACAGCGTTCATTGCAATTTTTGTGCCCAAAAATTTCCCCGATGCCCCCGTGATTGTGCAACCAGGTTTGTAGATCTCGCGTCGTGTCACTGGACACCGTTCAACGCGATGATCGATGACCAGGCAGCAAACATCATGAATAGACCTGCGTGGATGAGTGTAACGGGTGTAACGGGTGTAACCGCCCTCTTGCATATCTAATCTTACCCATCTTATCTATTGTTTGGCAACGCCGTCGGCGTCATCTTTATCATCATTTTCATACTTTAGTTCTTACTTTCTAGCATCTGCGTAAACTACCAACGAAGTTCGGTCTGGTTTACTTAGGTGCGCCCCGTAAGACTCCCGCTTTGGAACGCACTGGCGTTTCACTTTTTTAAACCCTCGTTCCGTTGCTAGTTTACCGTCCCGACGTGCCCAGCACGTCACCACACTCAACCCCATTGCGAACGCGAAGCCGTATGGCTTCTCCTACCCATTGCGAGAGCTGGTCCGTAGCCTCTCATGTGCCCTCCTCTTTCCGCGGACGCGACGACGAGCTCGTTGAGCCCAAAGTGCCAGCTGGCACCGGCCCGGGTATACCGGCCCGAAACCACGACGATGCCGTTCACAGCGGCGCGCGCTCCCTCAAGTACGCTCAGGCGCAGTCCGAGCCACTCCTTCGCGCGGAATTGCGCCGGTTCTGGGTGTACCACGCGCAAGAGCAGCCTGCCCAACGTCAGTATGAACTGGCAAAAGAAGCTGTGCAGATTGCACGATCATCACGCAAAGCGCGAGGGTTAAGCCGAGACCCCAATGACGGCGAATTCGTTGAGGCCGTGCTACGACGATTAGACATGCTGATTGACTTTGAGTGCGATCGCAGTGAGCAAATTCATGCCACAGAGCATGATATTAAGTCCCTAAACAGTCAGCTGAATAGCTCAGCTGTTAGTCGAGTCCCACCTTTGCCAGTGGGTATCACTTCCCCTGACCCCATCCTGAAGAGGGACTACGAGAGAGATTTAGTTTCTCTTGGCCCGCAGCCTGAGCTAAGCCAAACCTCTATTTTGGTGACACCCATGATGAGGCCTCCGAGTCAGTCTGCATTTGCAGCCGCATTAGTGCCCACTCAGGCGCCTACCACCCCGGCACAGGATCAGTCATCCTTATGTGTACGCACAGAGATTCTCGTGCCTGATTTGACCCCTCCAGTTGGAATTGCATCTGGCCTATCGTTAGCAGAGACGTCGGCTGAGTCTCGAGTGCCCTTGTCCATGCAGCCAGTTGTGACGCTCTCCGAGTCTTTTGTGCAGGCTGTGCAGGCGGTTATCCCTGCGCCAAGTCCTTCGTTCTCAGACTTGACACGCAATCCAATTTATGGACCCATTTTACTTGGGTCAACTGTTGAACCTCGGAGTTGTGTCTCCCAGGATCATCGAGAGACGTTCTACAACTTGTTCCCTGGAAACAGGTGTTCACGAGTTGCGGAACCTCTGGGAGTGGATGTGAGCAAGCAGGCTGAGCCACCACCTCATAACGAATATGATGAGTTGGATCGTCACTCTATGTGGGATGTGGAATACCTTCGAGACACAGCAATTTTGCTATGTCAGCGCATATCCTCAATATATCTTTTCATTCGAATATTCATCTTAGTTGCTCGCTGTTAACATTAACATGTTACCTGAGCATCTAACCACTTTTCGACCCAGGCAATTGGATGTCAACGCATCAGCCGTCGTGTCAGCGGAACTGCATGCTGAAAACGGGTCTATTTTTGACCTCTCTCGGAAAATATTAAATATTCGGGGTTTCTCTCATGGCCCTTTTAAAATTACTTTGAAACTTTCTGCTTATTTGATTATTTTATCTTGAGTTTGAGACTGTCTCATGGGGGGGTATGTAACGGGTGTAACCGCCCTCTTGCATATCTAATCTTACCCATCTTATCTATTGTTTGGCAACGCCGTCGGCGTCATCTTTATCTCGTTTCGCATCATTTTCATACTTTAGTTCTTACTTTCTAGCATCTGCGTAAACTACCAACGAAGTTCGGTCTAGTTTACTTAGGTGCGCCCCGTAAGACTCCCGCTTTGGAACGCACTGGCGTTTCAATGAGATAATGCACTCTCTTCCTGCCGTTCTATATCTCTCAAGCCCAACTCGAGCCTGTGAGCACTGAGTGCAGAAGAACCTGAAGCGCTGCCTCCCCGTCAACGTCTGCGATGCGGGACCTCTCGACGGCTGTAGCCTGTCGAGGCATCTCGAGGGTCTTGGCCTCTCGAGACGTCTCGGTGGTCTCTGCCTGCTGAGGCATCCCAACGGACTTCATCCGTTGAGGCATCCCGATGCCTATTTATTCTGAAATGTGTCGATTTGACGCTATTTCTAGGCAGGTGGGCATGAAGGAGAGGGTCAGAAGGACGATCATCGAGAAGATACCGTACCGCGTTAACAAGGACAAAAGCATTAATGATGTCTTGAAGGGCGTCAGGAGGAGGAGGATTGATTAACCGGGGAGGTCCCATTAAGGAACGATCGGCCTGTGTACCTAGAGCTATGTCTCTCCTTGACCGGACTAACTGGACAAGAATGCTACATAGAGTGGGTAGCGGGGGTAGAGACGAAAGCAGTGCCAGTGATTCCTCCAGTAGACGACGAGGAACGGTCCGACAGTCTCGGAGTTGTAACGCTAAAATACAATCATGTGGCCACTCCAAGCAGCCCGGCGAGTCTCTTGCACCACCAAGTTTTGTGGCCTTCTAGACTTGCTTTCGAAACTCAGCATAACGCATATCGCACTCGCTCATGTGCGTACCTCTTAATCACCCCTCGGTTGCTACTAACTTGCTTTCTTTTTATCACAAAGAGCAACACCCGCGAATTTCAGGCTCCTTAAAGCCATGACGCCCAGCCTCAGCGCCGACCTCAGTGGAAGGGCGCAGAATGTGGATGAAAACTACTTCAACAAGGTCGTTAAGAAGAGGGTTCACGACTCCGGGTTCACAAACTCCTCGATTGTGGCCTTCGTCGAAAGGTTCGGTCTCTACAATCGCGCCACTGAACGCTGGAGCAAGTTCGACGCCGTGTCCGACGTGGATCTCTGTGTACTACTCCTCCAGATATTCAGAAATGTTATCAAAAGTTTTGGCATTAAGAAACGTAACGTTATAAAAACACATTCCACGAAGCTGGGCGACGGCGACTGCTCCTGGAGAGGGTCAAAGGGGTCCAGTGTGTCGGTCAGATAGTCACCTGCGAGGATAAGTTCACCCTAACGGGCCTGAGAGGCATGAAGGGCAAGCCCCTCCCGGGTCGTCTCACCGATAAGGTCTTACGACGCCTCGTACTCGAAGCGCACGGCAAACCGATTTGGCAGCTCGAGACTCCGAAACAGTTCTTGGGCCTTTCGCGACGCGGTTGTTGGTGAGGATTTTTTTGCGTTAGTAGCTTGTTCGTCCGATCGCCGCTAACGCTTAGTCTGTTTCCGGGCCATCGTAATTTGTGGGATAATGGCATCCTTCACCGGGATGTCAGTATCAACAATATCCTCATCAGAGATGATAATGCAGAAGAAGGCTCCCGAGGGACACTTATCGACCTAGACTTGGCGACTTGCTTCGGGCCTGACATTAGGCTGCCCAACCCCGACAGTAGAACGGTTCGTTCTTTCGCACAAATTCTTCATGTTTTGCTCTGACGGTTTGGTGTCCATTGTTTCAGGGTACGCTGGAGTATCAATCTATCTTTATCATGATGTCCGAAGAGGAAAAGGAAGAAAACCCACCCGCCGTTCTCCTGCCCCATGACCATCTCGACGACCTTGAATCTTTCTTCTGGGTATTCTGTCGTGTCTGCACGGGCTACGACCAACAAGGGTCCAAGGTCAAGTGCCCAACCATCGAGAGGTGGGAGAGCGAACACCTCATCGTCCGACTGTACAGACGGACGTTCCTGTCAATGGACGCCGAGTGGCTGCAGCACAATGAAGTCGTGCACAACTTTGGCGCTGTATTAGTTGCCGGTCTCGTACCAGGAGATGAACGTACTCGCGAAGGAGCACTATGCGAGATTTTGGAGTTGTTGGAAAAGGTGCTCATGAATTTGGCAAAGGAGGAAGGAGAGGAGGAGAAGGAGAACGTACCACCACACACCGCAGCGTCAATATCTACCGCGCCATCGCACCAACCAGCCCCCTTGTCATCTCATAAGTCCAGTCATGCCGCCGGTGTGAAGCGAAAGTGCGATCAGCGAGACGAACATGACCCGGATGCTACCGAAGAGGCCACGGACACGGTTGGAAACCGCCAGATTGGCCGAGAATGAGAATATGAAGCCTAAGACATGGCCGCGGGCCAAAGGGGCCAAGCCTGCAATAAATAATGTGGGCGAATATACGCGGAGCCAGAAGGCCTTCGGCACCGTCACGGTTGACTAGTAAATTCGGGACGACTGTCGCAAGTACATTTGTAGTATGTAATTGTTTTTGTATTTCAGCTCTACGATTTCTCGCCTACGATTTTCTCTAGCTACAGATGCTCTACAACTTTCGTTCTCCTGCAACATTTTTTTTGATTTCTCGAACTATTTCTCGCCCCGCTGCGGTGCTCAGAGAGCTCAGGCTTACCCAGCGGTCGTGAAATCCTAATTCAAAATCTACAACCCCGGATTTGGGCCGAATCTCCGGTTATCCATGCAATCAATAGGTTATACAGGCCACTTTCTTAGGATTTTTACAGGATTTGGCTGATTCGCCGTCTCTGAGGGACGTCCAGATTAGGGAATTCTGACCGCCAAGCCAGAGAGCCACACGCGGTCACGTGCCTCTACCGCACCACGAACAATGGCGCGGTCCGTTAAGCGAGGCCACCGCGCGTGAACATCAACCACATCCACCCAGAATTTGTGACTCTGTCGGGCCACAGCTCGATACAAACTTGCGACGCGTGAGTCTTCGTTTCTTGTCTCTTACCATCCACTAACATGAGCATTGAAAATCTCAAGAGGGCTACCAGCAACAGCTACAGGTCCAAATTGACGCAATCGGAGTCCATCGACCCATCGCAAGTCGCTCTTCCTGCAAGCGAATCTCACCCACCAACACCACCTGGAACCCCAGTTCCCGAGTCTAGGGCTGCGGGATCGACGCAAACACCTCTCAGGCCCCATTGCCACGGAGCCTCCGACGGCTATTCGAACATTGCAGTCATGACACCCGTTCTCGAAGCCGAACTCAAGGACAGCACTCAGAACGTTGATCCCGGGTTCTTTCAGCGTGTGGTCAAGCAGAGAGTTTGGCGTACTGGAGTCACCGATACCGCGATCACAGAGTTCGTCCAAAACTCTGGACTCTACGACAACGACACCAAGAGGTGGAACGACATCAATGAAACGACTATCGAAAAAACGCTTTATGAGCCTTTCCATCAAATATTCCAGGAGGTCGTCGCCACATTCAAGCTGGAGGAGCGCGAGGCCATCCCTACGTACAACATCAAGATCCAACATATCGAGGGTGATACAGGCGACAGCTCACTTAAGACGTCTCCTGACCTCTTCATCTATGGGTCCGGGCGCAATTTCCACTCGGAGAATCTCAAGCTGGAGGAGGACAAGGAAAAGGCGAACTACAAGTACTGCGCGTCGCCTTGCGGAATCAAGACGGAGCATAACTTGAAGGACAAAGTTGTGACGCAGGTTGGGGTATATGCTCGGTACGTTGTAAAGTTTTGACTGATATACGTGTTCTGACTTGATCTGAATAGCCAATGCTTCATGCAGCAGGGAAACCGTCGATACGTCTACTCTCTGGTGATGACGGAGAAGCGTGCTTTCCTCCTACAGTTCGACCGCAATGGGGTTTTGCGCAGCCAATTCATCGACATTCACGAGAACCCCAAAGACTTTGTCTACCTCATCCTCCTCGTTTCTTCTCCCAATTGCACCACTCTTGGATTCGACACCAGCGTCTACTGGAAGGACGACAAACGATATATTCGAACCTTCAATGAGAAGGGCAAGCGAGTCTCATATGAGATTGTAGATGCAAAACCTTTCTTTCAGCGGCGTACGATTCGAGGACGTGGAACGCTTTGCTGGCTGGGTAGAGACCCTCGTGGCCGATTGCGCATCATCAAGGATTCCTGGCAGGCTCAAGGACGTGAGCCAGAGCATACTCTTCTGACGAAGGTGAAGGGTCTCCCGGGCATAGGGCAGATGGTTGCTTTCGAGCCGGAGAACGTGACGATCGCGGGTTTGAGGGGCATGGAAGGTCAAGAGTGGCCTACTGGAATGGTCGACCGCTTGTTCCGTCGCATCGTCCTTATGGCGTACAGCAAGCAGATCAATAAGTTTACGGACCGGAAGCAGTTTTTGTATGCATTTCGCGATGCTGTGGCAGGTAAGCACAGACCATTTTCGCTTCAAGGATTCTTTGCTTAATGTCGATCATTTAGGCCACCAAAACATGTGGGACATCAACGTTATTCACCGGGATATTAGCATCAACAACATTCTCATCGGAGAGGAAGACGCTGAAGCGGGATGGCGTGGTGTCGTTATTGATTTGGATATGGCCGTCTTTTGGGAGCGTATGATGACTATGGCTGCAGTGGACTTCAGAACGGTAGGACCTTCATCCTCGCTGCAAATGTGCCTCTGACACGCCCTTCTATTTCATTCTAGGGCACAAGAGCTTTTCAGTCGCTTTGCGTGATGGGAAGTGAAAACGATCGATTGGAAAAGTTGATCCTCCTCCCCCACGACCATCTCGACGACCTCGAATCATTTTTCTATGTCTTCTGCTGGGTCTGCATGCGCCACACCGCAGATGGGAAACCTCTCGAAAAGCCACCCTTAACAGATTGGGAGAGCGAGAACATCCGGCTGGCTTTTTTATCTAAGTCGGACTTTCTCTTAAAGGATCCCGTTGCCCTTTTACACAACGAAGTCGTCAACATCTTCGGGAAAGTCTTCCAGGGCCTGCTAGATGCCCTGCGGGAATTCCTGCGGGTGAAGCACTATTGGAAAATTGTGAACAGGGCCACTATGCCGAACACGATGGATACAATGAGGCCGCATTCGACTGAGCACTACGCAGAATTCCTCAGACATGTTGATGCCGCGATCAACGCCCTTGAGGAGGAAGAGGTCGAGCCGTCTTCGAGTTCTCCTGCGCCTTCGCCACCGCCCGAACTCGCATTGTCGTCTCCCCATTCCAGCCAGCAAGCCGAATCATCCAACGCCCTGAAGCGCACCCGAGACGAGCGAGATGCGGATGCAGCTGAGATGGATGTTGATGGAGAGGAAGTACCACCAGCGTCGAAGAGGTCCCACATCAGCTCAATGTCGACCTCACAAACTGGGGCAACACTGATGGCAGCGGCTGCCGGCGTCGCTGCCCCTGCTCCGAGGCGATCCTCGAGGCAGCGAACTGGGTCCGTTCAATCAGTGCAAGCGAACGTTGAGGCTAGACGATCGACAAGATCGAGGAATGGAACGAGGTCAACCCAACCAGCAGGGGCTCCCGTCAATAACGGCGCTTCGTCCTCCAACGGAACTCAATCTAGGCCGCGTAACGGTTCGGCGGGCTCAGGTGGGAGGCAGACAAGAAGTAGGGCAGGATCCGGAGGAGCTAGAAATGCAACGAGAGCGAGGGCGCAATCGGGAGGGACAAGCGGTGAATCTTCTGGCGTGACGGGTCTTCGACGTGGTCGTTCGGCTACACGCAAAGGGGGCCAAACGTAGACTTTTTTCTTTGACGCTCTTTTACTATCATTATTCTTTTTCCTCCTTCGTTGTTTTCGCATTGTATATGATTTGATTTTCCTTCTCTCCTTGCATGTTCATTTTTAAATTCTATCGCCTCCGGGTTCAGAAACTCCTCGATTGTGGCCTTCGTTGAAAGATCCGGTCTCTACAATCGCGCCACTGAACGCTGGAGCAAGTTCGACGGCGTGACCGACGCGGATCTCTGTGCCCCACTCCTCCAGATATTCAGAAATGTTATCAAAAGTTTTGGCATTAAGAAACGTAACGTTATAAGTATGCATTCCACGAAGCTGGGCGACGGCGACTGCTCCTGGAACATCTACCCTACATCGCCGAATACTCTTCCTGGTCTAATTATATTTGGCTCGGGGCCCAACTTCCACCCCGGGAAAGCGACGCCGAAACCGACAGACTATATGCACTGTGCCTCGCCCTGCGAGGTTACGACTGAAGCCAACTTGCATGAGGACGTCGTGATCCAGGCCAGTGGTGAGGATTTTTTGCGTTAATAGCTTGTTTGTCCGATTGCCGCTAATGCTGTTTCTAGGTCATCATGTCGGTATCAACAACATCCTCATCAGCGATGATAATGCAGAAGACGGCTCACGAGGGACACTTATCGACCTAGACTTGGCGACTTGCTTCGGGCCTGACATTAGGCTGCCCAACCCCGACAATAGAATGGTTCGTTCTTTCGCACAAATTCTTCGTATTTATCTCTGACGGTTTGGTGTCCGTTGTTTCAGGGTACGCTGGAGTACCAATCTATCTTCATCATGATGTCCGAAGAGGAAAAGGAAGAAAACCCACCCGCCGTTCTCAACAATCGAGAGGTGGGAGAGCGAACACCTCATTGTCCGACTGGGAAGACGGACGTTCCTGTTGATGGACGCCGAGTGGCTGCGGCACGATGAAGTCGTGCTCAACTTTGGCGGTGTATTTCAGATGCTCTTTGATGGTCTCCAAGCATTAATGAAGGAGCTATTTCGGTGGAAATTCAATCAGAGGAAGGAGGGCAAGTTGCCGGTCTCGTACGAGGAGATGAACGTACTCGCGAAGGAGCGCTATGCGAGGAGGCATGGACAAGGCACTCGTGCATCTGGCGGAGGAGGAAGGGAACGTAACACCACACACCGCAGCATCATTATCTGTCGCATCAGCGCACCAACCAGCTCCCTTGTCATCTCATAAATCTGGTCATGCCGCCGGTGTGAAGCGAAAGCGCGAGCAGCGAGATGACGACGACCTGGTTGTTAGTGCATCGCAGGCTCCATCGTCGAAGAGGCCATGGACACGGTTGGAAACCGCAAGATTGGCCGAGGAGAAGGAGAATATGAAACCTCAGACGAGGTCGCGCGCCAAAGGGACCAAGACTGCAAGGAAGGCGGCGACAAGGTACGCCGAGCCGAATGGCCTTCGACGCGGCCATGGTGGGTCAGTAAATTCGGGACGACTGTAGCAAGTACATTTGTAGTAGTAGGTAATTGTTTTTATATTTTAGTCTCGTCGCATACGATTCCCCCCTAGCTATAGATCCTCTACAACTTTGGTTCTCCTGCAAAAAATGGTTTGATTTCTCGCTTGTTTCTCGCACTACTGCATGAAAAAAGGTGCTTGCCCGATGGGCGTGAAATCCTAATTCAAAGTTTGTGGCCCTTGATTTGGGCCGAAGCTCTGATAGGTTCTACGGGCCATTTTCTTCGAATTTTTACAGGATTTGGCCGCTTTGCC